AGTGGCTGCTTTCGGTCATGCTTGTGCTCACTGTCGCCTGGCAAGCCTCTGGGTTGGAATCAATCATAATGTTAGAAAAAGAAAAAGGGAGGAAAAGAATAAAAAAAAAAAGAGGAGGATAAAAAGAAATCATGACCAGGCTGCACATGTTTGTGGTTTAACTTCCCGGAAAAAATGGGTGCGGTAAAGGCAAGCTATTAAAAGATGCCATCAACTTTTGAAAAAAAACTTTCATCATGCATGTTCCCACTTTTCTAAAGAAGCCTCTGGAATACGCACACGGAAAAAGATCTGCAACAACCCAGTATGCAGTAGGTGCAGTACCCACCAACGATCTGCAACTGTCGAAAAGTAAAAAAAAAAAAAAAGGCAAGCCCAAAATAATGGGCTGGAATGTTATGTGGAGGGTGAAAGCCCATATGCCCAAGAGAGCCAGGCTCTATGGCTCCAAATTTATTCGGCACCATGCCGCTATTATCACCAACCAGGTGATCAAAAGTACGTCCAGTACTCACTCATGTCAATCATACATAAACATTCATAACCATCATTCATGTCAACATTCATGAGCATCACTCATGTCAACATTCATGAGCATCACTCATGTCAACAACCATAAGCATCACTCATGTCAATCAACATAAACATTCATGAGCATCACTCATGTCAATCAGCTTCGAAAGCTTCATTTACAAAGCTCCTGCTTCGAGAGCTCCAACTTCAAAAGCTTCATTTACAAAAGCTTCACTTGAAAAGCTTCACCTACAAAGCTTCAGTGCAGGGTATACAAATATCACATTCGAACAACCACCACTTCGGCCCATATATGGATTCAATTTGAAGTCTCTAGCCAATAGACTCTATTGACTGAAGACTTGGGGGATTACACTATGTACCATATATTGGGCTTCCACAACTAGGCCTCATGAAAAATACTTGGGGGACTCTAGCCCATTATTTATGTACTGAGGAGCGAACCCTTATTCTATAAAAGGGACTCCCTCACTTTCATTAGAGAGCACTCATTATTCATGTACTGAGGAGCGATCCCTTATTTTATAAAAGGGACTCTCTCACATTCATTAGAGAGCATCACCGCCAGCTAAGCAAACGCCTTGCCGCGAGCATCACTCCTAACTCATCACTTATGTATGGAGGAGCGAACCCTTATTCTATAAAAGGGACTCCCTCACTATCATTAGAGAGCATCGCCGCCTGCTGAGCAACCACCTCGCCGCGAGCATCAACTCTTAGCCCATCACTTATGTATTGAGGAGCGAGCCATAATTCTATAAAAGGGACTCCCTCACCATCATTAGAGAGCATCGCCGCCTGTTGAGCAACTGCTTCGCCGCGAGCATCTACTCTAGCCCATCATTTATGTATTGAGGAGCGAGCCCTTATTCTATAAAAGGGACTCACTCACCTTCAACGCCACAAGCCGAGCCAACCAAGGCAACATAAGCCACAAGCAGAGCAGCCTCGCAACATGTGCTACTTCTAGTTGAGCATCATTTCAGATTGGGCACCGCCTCATATCGAGTATCAGTTCTAGACGATATCTAGTTACTTCGACCCACACATGGACTGAATTTCAAGTCTCCAGTCAAAAGACTCTCTTGACTGAAGACTTGGGGGACTACTGTTTGTACCATACTTAGGGCCTCCGTATTTAGGTCTCGTATAAATACTCGGAGAACTCGAATGCAATTATGTAATAAATGAAGGGGCAAATATGTAAAAAGGGGAGGAGCCCTTAGTCTATAAAAGGGCATCCTCACCCTCACAATCCAAAAAAGCTCTCATCCTCACATACAGAGCTCTCTCAAACTCTCTCTTTCTCTGGGGGGGGCTCCCTCTCACACTTGTAATCCATACATTCATACAGAGAAGAGAAATACATCAGTGTGGACGTAGCCCAAACATTGGGGTGAACCACGATACATCTTGTGTTCTTTACTTTCTTGCAGATTCACGGTCGGATTTACGTTGTTCCAAGACCCCTCCGGTTTTGTGCATCAACAGTTGATATGTGAGACTTTATTCTCCAAAACGCCTACTCACGAGTGGCACCGCACGACGTCTCATATGGGAAAACAATTCCCACATTGGCGAAGGTCAAGTATTTGACGTCAATATGGTGTAAAATCATTACAAATCTTCAATGGATCATCCAACCGCTCAATGATATCTCTAAAATCCTACAAAATCATCATAAATTAATGCGATTTCATAAATTGTCCCGGATTATGAGTTGAAATACACAAGCATAGAAGAATAAGGAATATTTACAGTAATAATTATTCAGTAAATGTGATAATTAGTTATGGAAATATTATATGGCATTCGGAGAAGCAAATCAAAACGTACGAATTGATTGCATAATAGGCTCAATGTTGTATGTATAAATGGATTTGTAATGTGGTTTTGTATTTGGAGTTGATAGTGAAAGGTTAAGGTTACATATATACTTTGTGGATCGATCAAAGATGGCACTTGGAATGCACAAAATTTTGGTGATTGGAATCGGCATTTTTGTCAGCTGTTTGCTGCTCCAATGCGAACAAGTTGATGGAAAAGAATATATAGTGGGGGATGAGAAAAGATGGAGCCCTGTGCTAACTTAACCCAGTGGACTGAGGGCAAGAAGTTCAAGGCTGGAGATGTTTTGGGTAAAATTACTGAAATTTGGTTTTCTTTTCAATTCCTGTTCATGCATCCGATTCCTCAAGTTTATATATTACTATATTTGATTAGCAGCTGGTTTGTTTACTAATTCAATGTATTTTATTTTGAAAACAGTTTTCAAATATAATAAAGACCCCTTTCTCATGGTAGCTGCTGTACGGGACAAGTATTTGTTCGAGAAGTGTGACTTATATGCCGGTGCGATAAACATATACCGTTCAGGAAACGATCATGTGGTATTGGAGAAAGGCACAACCTACTTCGCACCTTATCTGACTCCCTATTGTGAAAATGGAATGAAACTTACTATTGATGTGGAGTAACTATGTGTTATAGTTATAAACATGCATGATATGCGGTATGTTTATCAGGCAGACTCCATTGTATGTCATATAAGAGATGCTATATATAATGAAGAAATAATTGGAGCTAGCTGTATTGTTTTTTTTTCCCAAAACCATTGATTGATCGCTAGCATCGCCAATATTTAATAAGTCCATCATTTCAATTATTTCAACGATCAGAATTTCCACACCACCTCTTAGGAACTTCCATTCGATTTTTTTTAGGTACACCACTTGGATGTTGCAAAATTCGGCAGCAGCACCAGCTTGTATCAAATCACGTTTGGACACATGTTTAGTTTATATTTATAATTTTAATTATTTAACACATATTCAAATGTAATTGGGTAACAACAAAATTTGCAGTAGCGAAATAGTGTTTTTTTAGCCCATTAAACTTATTCCATGAAAAGACGTAGGGGCCACCTCATCCGACAGATTTGGTTTTATTGGTTTTTTTCAGTTTGTATGCATGGATTGCAACTTGCAAGCATGAAAGGCAACACAAAAACACATGGTAATGCTAAGGAGATTAAATTTGTAAACTAATTGATGTGTCACCAATAAGAAGTAAACACGTTAAGCAACACTTGGTTAATAATCAAATGATTTACAACCACATCATTTAATTTGTAAATTTAATTTAAAAAATTTGATCTCCTAACATTACAAAAAACACAAAGTGATGTTAGACTAAAAACGACATGCCCAATTAATTGGATAAAATATAAAAATTAGAGCACAAAGTTTTCATATTTTTAATATTATTTTTTAATTTTTATGTTTTATCTTAGGGAGAATTTTAATTCAACCAAAATTTAATAGGTTAATGTTTATTTTATTATTTTATTGGGCCTAGAGTTACATTAACTATTAAGAAATAATCAAAATTAATTCTAGTTTTTATTCTATTGGTTGTTAATGGGATTTATGTATTAAAAATTTTAATTAAATATATTTGACTCCATCTTTGTTTGCTGTAAAAAAAAAGCAGCAAAAAAGTAAGGAGTCAAATGACTCACATGCCATATCATATATAGCATATCCATTAGAGAACACCTAAATATCTTTTAATCCTATTGACATATTTAACATCTCCTTTAAAGATGGTCTACTCAAATTTAAAAATCTAGTTGAGTATGAACAAATTCAGGTTGTCCCGATCCAAGTTTTACTCTTACCTTTACATTCTAGGTGCAAATAAGTTTCTCTGCCTCCACCAAACCGCTAGCCGCTAGGTATGAAATTTACATTAAGACCCACACTTCATGATTTTGGTCGCCAGTGGTCCATTCATAATATCAACATGCAAATCAGCCCAAACCCCAACCTTCCCACAGTCAGCTCTTTTTTTTTTCGATAGATTTTGTTAAATTAAATATTATATTAGCTACGGATGGGGTTCAAACATACGTCATCATACAAGAGTTCAATTTATTTCCACCACTATGATAAAATGTCATTTGCCCCCAATCGGGGTTTAAAACATGGATATAGGTGAAAATATCAAGATTTTTTTTTGTTGTCAAATGCTAGAATTTGTTAGATTAGCCATCGGGGTTTGAACCCACGTCGTTATGCAAAAACTCAACACCTTTCCACCACTGTTGTACAAGACCACTTCCCAATATTGATATTGACATCAATTCCCTTGGACAAAAATTATGAAAATTGCAATGGGTGGGTATATCAACTCATTCAAATTTAGCCTAAATTAGAGAATTTAAAAAATAAAAAATAAAAATTCAAAAGTTCGAAATCTGCCATGAGTTCTAGCAAAATTTATGTGGTGGATCAATAAATATCGTCAACATTCATTGATTTTTCTACATCTCGCCAACATAGGGTAAAATTTGCATTTCACCCCTTTCCAGTTTCCATATCAATCCTAAATTTTTCATCGATATGTTACACACTGACACCGCCCACATCAAAGAAAAAGAAAAGGAAATCGAAATGGGCATAAAATTAGAACAGAAAAACAACAAAACACCTTAATTCTGATTAACAATGAAATAAGCAAACACGACCCGAACGAGAACTCAGCAGCTAGAACACACCAAGCTGATTCAATTAAAACATTTACACAAATGTCAGATTTTCGAAAAACTACTTCGGCTAACAAGTTTTCATCTCGTACAACAAAATCCAAACAATGAGAAGACAACATCCTTTATGAGTTTCTGTTGTGCTTTCGTTCACTCTGTTAGTCATATGGAATTTGAATATATGCAGCATCACAGACGAAGGGGATATCAGCATACATGCCAGCAAGAGCACAACGTATGGCCTCCAACACGGTGAAAAGGTAAGCAAATGCAATGGCCGTCCAGAAGTGCATCCCAACCTTACCCCAGTAGACAGCAAGCGGCATCCAACGGCTCACAGTCCCTATCACCTGCAAGGCAATCTCCAGCAACATGCCCATCACCACATGAAACCTGAAGAAATGAGGCCATTCCTTTCTCCTCACAACTCCCAGATACGCAACGAAAAAGTATGCCATCAAGAACCAGCTGGGCAACCTCCCAATGGCTCCAAGGAACGGGTATGTTAAGAATTCAAAGTCCTCCAAGAACGGGTGTAGATGATACGCTGTCTCAGCATACATCCATGTCTCGTGTAGGGGCATCAAATAGGGGAGACAGGCTAATGTCCTCCACCACCACTTTGGCTTCTTAGTCATTGGAGGGAACCGAAAACTGTATGGAACATCCTTAGATGCTTGAGGGGCCATACGAGATTTGCATCTACTTTTCAATGCAGGGATTGTGCGTAACAGGCTACCGTGATCCCCGCTGAAAAATGGGCTCGATGCAGCACAGGGGTTCAAAAGTGGCATAACTACGACAAAAGTAATGTCGAATCAAAACTCGCACTCAGCTCAACATATGGGTTGGCAAATAATACATCAAATTCTATTTGAGCAAATATGTATTTTCGTGCGAGTAAAAGATAGCCGTGTGTGTCAAGCACATTAACAGATCGGATTGAGAACAACACAGTGATATACTTTTTCATACCGGAATTAAACATACAACCGAGAGTTACCTTCCTGCTGAGCTCTCCATGAATTCAAGCATGGAAACGCAGCCGCCTTAGCTTGAAAGCGGGAAGCACATGACAAGACAGGGCCACCAGAAACCGATGCCTTGCACACCCCCAAATTCACAGAACTGCACCCGGCGGGCATGGCGCATCCATTCGGAATCATAGCCAGGTACCTGATTAAATAAAACCCAATTTGACAAGTGGAAAACATAATCCAGATAAAGGGATATGATTTTTCTCCAATTTCTCCTCCTACTAATTTACAATGCAGCACAGTAAATGCAAAACATGCACAAATCTCTCAGCTTGAACAAGGAAAAGGAAATGAACCCTAAATTTAATTCCAGACAAAAAAACAATTAAATCCCATAAATTAAATATCCTTTTGCCCAAAAGCCCTAATTTCATATGATAAATTACCTAGAACAGAGAAGCTGGGGAAGCAGAGCCGCAGCACTCGCTTAAGATTGCGCCACTTCAATCGAATTTTTTAGGGTTTTTCGATTAGTTTCTTGTTGGTAGAGAAGAGATGAGACACCGTATCTTGTTCCGAAGAGCGCAGACTGAATGGAAGCAACGAGTCAGATAGAGAGACAAACACTGAGGATGGCTGGAACTTGAACCAAAAACTCTCGTTCACGTTTATTTTAACGAAAAATCATATTTTTATATTAAAAAAAATTAATTCTGATACTATTCATTTTACTCTTTATTTTATTTTTATCGTTAAAATTCAAACATTTTTAAACCATTTTTATTAGTTTTTCTAACTAACGATCTAAGCTAACCCGGCCTGTTTCCTAGATGATTTGGGTTATCCATAAGCCTTATGTCTACTTGGGCCAGTTGGACTCAGTGTAGCCCAATAACATTAGCCCCAGTCAGTTCTGCAAGGGGTAATTCCCAGACCTGAAAAAACACAATCAGGAACACGCTTCTTCACGTGTGACGACTTTTGCATGTAAAGTCTAAAACGAGCGATGTGGGAGAGCAGATGAGCCGTTTGGCCACCATAAATGACAATGTATGCACGTAAGTTTTGTTAAGAATAAATCGTGCTTGGAGTGTGTCGATCTAAAGATCTAGCATTTTTCAGCAGATTGTCAACGAAAAAAAGGTCGTACGGAAATCATTTTTTTCCATCTAAAAATGTTTAAAACAAGAGGAAATACAGTTCGATGATTGGAGAGTTCCGCTTCCGCTACTCATGAATTCAATTTGCCACGTTGAAAAGGGCTATCCATTTGATCAATAATACTCTGCAATCCCGACCTGTAACTTGGATGCAGCAGCCTCACTCCTAGTTCCTTCTTCATACGAGCATTCGAAACTCTCTTCTCTCCCTGTAAACCTCTCTTCTTAACAATAAGTTCCGAAGACTCTCTTTGCCCTGAAGGCTGTTTGATCCAGCCAGGCCACTTTTTCTCAACCAAGTCCCTTGCATACTCGAATACTTCTTCCCTTGGGGCTGGATCATCGTCAACAATATTGTAAACTCGCCTGCGATTTCAAAGCCTATCATTTCAGTGTACATAAACTATATTTCACACCTTTAGAATGAATGGTTTTGAAAAAGAGTCTAACAAAGTTAAGAAAAAACGAAACTCAGAGCCAACCTGGATGACGGTGTGCACATACTGGCCATAATTGCTTGACAAATATCATCAACAGAAACTCTTGATGTGAATTGCCGATGCCCTCTCATTCTCTGACTCTCCGATAAAGCTCCCTGCTTGACTATTGTATCGACAGCACTGCAGAAAATAGTTTGCAAGAAACCCAACTTTTAGCTTGAGAAAGAAGCGAAAAATTTATCAATTAGAGCAGAGGAGCTGACACTGCATTGCTATGAAGAACTGTGTTTTCAATTTTGAAACTTCGGAAACGGGGAAGGCTTCCTATTAATTATAGAGTGAAGAGAAAAGACAGGATTTAAACATAATGATTTTGAATTTAACACAACCTTCTACCAGGACCATAGATGCCTCCGAGCCGAAATACTTGTGTTGAGATGCCAAGACTCTGGCCGAAATTGAACCATCCTTCCTCAGCAGCTAACCTTAACCTGCCCGACTCACTCTCGGGGTTGGGGATATAACTGCCAAATAATAGTCAAAGTTTCTGAGACAATTTGTTATATTGAGCAGTAGTTTGCATATCAAGGTCGTTAACTTAGGTGCACTCACTTACTCCTCATCTACCCATGCACCGCCAGTGTCTCCATATACACCTAGCAGAAGCAATTCCATAGTTAAAAAACTAACATTGGCGAGCATTTGAGAAAACAAACAATGCACAACTAGTTTTGAAGAAACGGAGAGTGCAACATTGTCACTTGACTCACTTCCCATGAAAGGGGGCAACAAGTGAAATGCACAACGAGCTACTTCGAGTAAAATCGCAATGTTAGAATTTCATTTTTTGATTAAGCCCTGGTTTGGTATTAAGGTGATTCTGAAAAAAGATAGTATCAAAAAAAGCTGGGAACTTTTTTGTGTTTGGTAAACATTCAGCTTCAGCTTTTTTTCACAGTTTTGGGTGAAAAAAAACCAAAAACAAGAAGTTGCATAACCCAGCTTTGAAAAACCGGTTTTTTTTCACATCTGTTTTACATAAAAGTTTACCAAACACTATAATACTGCTTTTTTTTCTTCAAAAGCATTTTTACAAAAAAGTTTACCAAACACTCTGCTGCTTTATTTCACAGCTGATTATTCTCACAGCACAATAGAAGCAGTTTTTTTTCAAAGCACAGCAATACCAAACCAGCCCAAGCGTATATATGAACCTTGTCGACCATAATTTATCTATATCAGTCTTATCAGAACGAAAACATACATACTAGTTGATGACAGATAACCAAGCCATTGAAGATTTCCACCCACAAGTTCTCTCCTTAGAATTTGGTCATAATCCAGCATCTACAAAAGCAAGGCCAACGTTAGTTGCCCCTAAAGATGGAAACTGTCATTAACACTCTAAAAACGTCATTCTGCACCCCTTCATGCACAATCATCTCGTAGTTTTTTTACGAGAGGTGTGCAAGATTACGTTTTTGGATTGCCAATAACAGCTCTCTATAGAAATTGTCACTAAACTCGATAAACAGTTCCAATTATCTCCTAACCTAACTGGGCAATAATGTATCATACCGGATCACCGATGCCCGGAACAGGAGGAATGGAGACAACCATGTGCGTATGGTTCTTGATAGCATCAAGGATGATCACACTGAACAATATCCAGATATTGGTTTCCCAAATTAAGCAAATCACCAGAGAAAATTCAAAAAAAAAAATATTAAATTCAAAAAATTGGCAATTACTCTGGCTCATTTGCATCAAAAAGGTAAATCTGAAAGCTCCTTTCTTCCTCAAGTTTCTTCTTCTTGTTAATGCTAGTGCAAGTACCAGAGACATCCCTAATAACAGCAAGATTTAAGCTTAAATTAGAAACCCTAAAATTGAAATTCAGTTCATGAAATGTGAAATTAAGCACCAGAAGTGATTAAGATTTAATTACCATCCGCGGTTCTTGAGCTCACGCCCCAGGCGCTGGCCGATGAAACCCATTCCGGCGATGAACATCCGGTTCTGTGGTTTGAACTCCGTTCCGGTCATTCGGAAGACGGAACGTTTCGGGAGATGGCCGAATTGGAAGGCCGCGGAACCCGATATTTTACACAATTCCATCACGAAATATCGGAGCTCAATACAGAGAAACACTGAACCGGAATCGGATTTCTGCAGAGGATGACGTGGACCAAAAGTGATTGGACTCACCTAATAAGGGCTACTGGCCCAGTCAAGGCCCACAACTAATTATGAACTTTGTGAATAACGGGCCCCAACCAATCCAAATAAGAATTCCGAGGATTTTAGGAAATTGTTATTAGCACTTCAAAAATCTCATTCTACCTTCCAAACTTTTCATATTTGGAAATAAAAATACACTTATGAGGAGTATAGAATGAGATTTTTGAAGTATCAATAACACTTCCCGGATTTTATTATAACTTTTGTTTTCCGATTCAAACATATGTGCACGTAATTGTGATTGAAAATTGATCACATTATATATATTTTAATCCTGAAAAATCAATCAAGTTGAAATGTCACGTACAAATGTATATATGTCAAACACTTAATGTTTCATTAAATTGTCGATTAATTTGATACGTATATAATATATTAATATAAGATGTTCAATTTGATTGACGTTTTGCGTATATGATCTATAAATTGAGATTACAAAAATGAATGGTTCATAATATGATATATGTATAGAGGAAATTGGTTGATTATACAACTTGGTGAACAAGGAGGTACACTCTGTTGTTCATAGTGGTGGTTTGGAAAACCGAACACCTAGGAAGTATTCTTTCCCAATTAAAGTACTAAAAAAATCATTCATAATATATGTTTTTAATACAATTATTCAGATGTATTCATGTGAATACATGTATTTAACAATTACCATCTAATTATCGATATAGTGATTGTATAAAATATATCTAAGTATTGGTTATATGTATTTAATACAATGATAATCTAACCATCTTGATGGTGATTATATTAAATATATATATATATATAAGTATTGTACCAAATCTTTTATTTTATAACACAACGCATTAATTGTTTATATGAGAAAATTTATTCGACCATTGCATCCAACTGTTATTACACTATATTTATGGAGTTTTTCTACTATTTGATTACTTGTAAAGGGCTTGAAACTCATCTACACTATGTTTGAATGAATAAATTTAAGATTATTAAGAAGTTTTAAAATGATGAAAATTGACATGAAGTGATTTTATCTTCTAGAATTTGTGAATTTTTTTGTTTGGTTAACCTAAAAGAACAAGGGAATTGGATACGGAATTTGTTATTTTTAAACTCTCAATCATAGAAATTGGGAAATGACACCTATTTACATGGAATTTAAACTTGGGAATTAGAGGTCCCAAATTTCAAGTTTCTTTTTCACACGAAAATTCTAAATTTCTATATTTATGAATCCAAACAAAGGAATTGGTGCATATCAATTTATAAATTGTGACTTTTATTCAAATTCCAAGTTTATTTCTCTCATCCAAACATAGTTGAAATTATGAGTTCGATTCACCTACTAGGTAAAACTTGTATCAAAAGAAAATATTTTTTCACTCATTTTATAATTATAGTTAACAGAGTGACTAAACTAGTTAAGCTTTAATTAAGTTGATGAGTGTGTTCTGTGTTTATTCCATGAACGGAGAACAATGACTACAAACAATAAATTTTTTAGTGAACATATTCTATTACATTAAGTGTCATAATACAATTGGTTGATTTTTTTTAAATTTTCAACAAATTGTATTATAACATTTGGTGTGTACTGTGCTGTATTTTTATCATACTGAAAATCTCTTCACCACAAGGTAGATATACATATATGCAGTGCATGCAATACAATGGATATTCTGAAACAAGAATCATCCAGCTAATAACTCACGACTATTTTACACTAATTGACACACCCCGTCCCGAAGGAGGGCGTGCTAGCCGTCACGTGAGAGTGACGTAACCATTTACACAGTTCGGAAGCTTTAAAAAACTTTCCAATTACTAAGATAACACACCCGAGGGTGAGTCCTACTTTTGTGAATTCTGTCAGAACACCGTTGGATTCCTCGTGGCCACCAAAGCTCTGCTAACTTGAACCTGGAGGGGCGCAAAACAAAATTGAGTGGGTCAGTAAAACAAAGTTTTTCGAAAACTTTTCATTTAAAACATTTCTAACCCCTCACCGTAAAACCTGTATACTTTCCTAGAAAATAGCATATATATAAACATATATATAAGCAAAAATCTCAAATCTCAAACCTTTAACACTTTTCAGAAAAATATATATGAAATCTCAGAGCTTGAATCCCAAATCTTTAACATTTTTCAAGAAAAACATGCCATGCCATAAATCAAAATATAAATCAGGTGAAATAAGGAATCAATCGGAGACCCTGCAGTTGGTCCTATACGATTAATTCAATAGCTCAATATCTCACTAAGCCGGAGTCACCACAGTGACCTATACGGCCCTACTCTGCACATCACTCGGAACTACGTAAGGTAGTCTATACGATGAAAGGTGTAAAATACGCTCTAGTGCTTCTCTCATCATATCATCAGCGCGCATATCTAAGGTCACCCACCAGTCGGAACCCCTCTAATGGTCTGTACGACTGGCATGTCGGAACCCTCACATGGTCTGTACGACATCCACCTACTTGGATCCAAGGCGAGCGTGCGGTGTGGTGAATAATATAAGCACTAACACCTAGGGTGCAGATTATGAGCTCAAACATCTCAACAACAACAATTCAATGAATAAACGAACTCACCTGACTTACATGTGCCTCCACAGCACCATGCAACATGTATGCATCATATATCAATCATATAACTCATATGAAATTCACATTTTCCAAATAATTCTATGCATGGCATTTTCAAAACATAATTTCGCATAAAAGCATTTTTTCTGGGAAAAACAATAGTATATAGGTAATACGAAAACAAAACTGCCCACTCACCTGGAGTTCGCCCACAACTCCCTAGCACCGTACATCAAGGCGTCATGACGATTAGCGCCTAGAACAACAATCAAATCCAACCTCAGAAATTCTGCCGATAGAATACATAACTTATATAAGACACGTCACTACGTAGTTCGATCCGGATGATCTGCAATTCAGATTTCAAATCCGTAACTTCCAGAGGTCCACAATATACCTCTAGGACAACATCCTAAAATTTCATTACCATCCAACGGTCGGATCTTCGTCAATTTCCAAAACTAAGTGACGGTTAACATTCTATTTTATGAACTTACAACTTCAATTCCAGAAGATCCGTAAATCGGATTCCCAATCCGTAAGTTCCTATAATCCTCAAATATTACGTATTACAACGTATCAAAGTTTGGTGACGATCCAACGGTCGGATCGTCAATTCACATTTTCACCTAACCACGAATCGTAACCAACCTAGGTTCAATTATTCAATTTACGTCCATCAATTAACAAAACTGAACCTAGAACCTTAATCACATGCTAATAATGACATTGGCGGGCCATTGGCCACGCGCCGCCGCGCGGGCCGCCGCGGGTGGCGGTTGGCCGCCCCCGGCTCGCCGGAAAATTCAACTATTTCCAAAAATTACCAAAATTTGCAGATTTGAAGATCTCAATGAGTCGAACAACTTTCATACCTGAGACCAAGGCCAATTTGGCCTGGAAGTGCTTCAATTTCACCAAAACCGTGAAGAACCCTAGAATTTGGGTGTTTCCAATTCGACCTTCAAACTTGTTCCAACGCCTCAATTACCTCTTGGGCTTTGTTCTAGGTCCTAAAGGAATGCTAAAGGTGTTAGTAATTGAAAGAAAACATTTCAAAATTTGGAGAATTTAAACAAAAAGGGTCGCGGCACCCGTAGGGGTGTTCTTCGCGAAATCACAACGAAATTCAATGATTCTTGGGGTGAAACGTAAAGAGGGAAGGCCTAGATGATGATTAGGAGTGGTACCTTGACTCAATTCGTCGGAAATTTGGACGAAATCCATCGAATTTGGGCGTGGGCACCGCCGGGTCGAAACGACCCACGGGTTCTCCCCAACCCATTTCCTCTTTTCCTCCGCTTCTCACCCTCTCTCCCTTCCTCCTTTCCCTGTTCCGATTGGTCAGTTTCTTCCCCTCTCTGCCTCTGATTCGCTCTCTCTCCTTCTTCTCCGATTGGGCAGTTTTTGCCCAATCTCTCTTCCTCTTTTCTGATTTCTGGTTCTTCCCACGCACACACCCACACAAAACTTTCATTTTTCTCATCCCAGCCATCCATTTCAAAATCCTTTAATCTGGGCCATCCAAATTTTAATAAAAGAATTTCTATATTTTACTAAAATTATAATTCCTTAAAATTCCAAATTTCAAACGTTAATAACTTCTTCGATATAACTCCAAATCACGAACCGTCTGCGCCCACGCGTCCATAACGACGAGTACTACGGGGATATGTCAAGAAAACAAATCTTAGATGGCACGACATGGTGATTAACCTCGAATAATGCACGTACCTTCAAAGGGCATTTTTGTAAAATCCTTTATGAAAACTTTAAAAATTCTTAAAATTAGGGACGGGCTGTCACACTAATGATTTTGATCAACTAACAATTAATTAAGAATTAGTCATTTTATAATGTCAGCAAATTTGCATGATTCAAAACGAACGAACGAACGAACGGATCCATAAATAAATTAAATTGTATTTACTTATTTTGTTGTCTTCATATCATATTTAATTTTATTATAAAGTTTGGTACAAGCGACCTACTTTTTCCTCCCTTAACTTCAAATCCAACTACTAAAATAAATGAAGTTCCGATCAATAACAAATTCATAAATTAAATTAAAAGCTTTGCAGAATCGAACATAAATGCTTTCATTTGTCAGAAATTAGAAGAAAAAAAAAAGACAGAAAAAAGAGAGGGAGGAGGAGGATGGAGGAGCAAATTGCAAGTATGGTGGTGTTGGGGGTGATTTCATGGACTACGGCGTTTCTGTTCATACGAAAGATGCTTCCGAAGCGATCGTTCGACTTCTGCAACCGCCTTGTATCCACAGTTCATGCAACTGTGGCTGTTACCTTAGCTTCCCTTTCTGTTCAAGATTGGAACTGCCCTGTGTGCCCTCTGGCTTCAACTTCTTCTCCTCGTCAGGTATTTTGTTTTGTTTTGTTTTTTTTCGTGGGAATAATAATCTTTAAGTTTTATAAAATAAAATAAAAATAGATACCTAGAGAGAGCTCGATGCGAGTTGCTCATTTAAAAGCCGTTTGATAACTATTTAGTTTTCAACTTTTGAAAACTTGTTTAATAACTGTTTTCTACTTTCAAGAAAATGAAAGTTGAACTTAAAATGAAATGGTTATCATACGGCTGCTTAGTGAAATTCGAACCTTCTTCTGTTAAAAACTCAGCATCGCGTATTTTTAAATAATTTAACTTAAAAGTGTTTCTGCTCTAATATATACGCAGATGAAAGCACTGTCTTTGAGCCTTTCTTATCTCATATACGATCTTGTGTGTTGCCTCTTTGACAAGAAATTCAATCCTGATAATTTCTTCCACCATTTGGTCAGCATTGTTGGCATTGGAGCAGGCCTTTCCTACCAAAAGGTAAACTAGTTTGTTTCTGGGTTGTGTTATCCACACATCCTTTTTACGTTCCACACATTCTTGGTTAATTTCTATCATTTGACTCTCTTCAATTCATTCGATCCAGTAGTCGAAAATTGAGAAGGGCATGTGAAAGGTAAAAAAAAAGGTGTGTGAATATCCCACCCTTTCCCTATTATAAACAACTATGTGAGTCTTAATTTCCTCCTATCATGAGTTTTATAAAGTATGAGAGTCTCTGTATTTTGACACTTGACTTCATGTTGATTCCATTTGGTTATGACTGATTAGTAGATGCTAATTACATTTTTCTTGATCTAGACGTGTTCATAAGTTACTTACTTCATATTTTACTGAATTTCTCTCTCGATATGTATCAAACCGTGATTTGTAGTAACGATAAACGAGGCAAGCATCGTTCTTTCGAATTAAGATTAGTCATCATAACTCATAACGTTTTCTCGAACTGAATCTGAATTCTGGTAATGATATTCTTATTTGGTGCTAAATTTGTTAGTGTGGGTCGGAGATGGTGGCAGCATTGTGGATAACAGAGTTGTCCAGCCCTTTCCTACATATAAGGGAGCTTCTCAAAGAGCTTGGTTACAGAGACTCCGATCTAAACCTAGCAGCCGATGTAAGTTACTTAAAACTCGAACTCTTCGTCGTTCCTCATTTCTCCCACGTATTTTTCTTCTATAATTGCAAAAATAATAAAAAATAAAATTTAAAAACAAAATAGTTATTGAATGAACCCTAGTAAAAATAGCGTATATAGATTTTATTTGCAGTTATATTCACGGTTGCAAGGATGGGAGGCGGGCCTTATCTCACCTATGTGACTCTGTCTGCTAACAACCCATTCATCATCAAGGTATTTTTCCTTTACCTCGAACTGAACTGCTCGTCGAGTAATGTACTCTCACTTTGATTCTAAGTAAGTAAACATGTCATTGAGCTGTTCGTGTTTTTCAGGCGATGGCGGTAGGGTTGCAGCTGGTGAGCGCTTTCTGGTTCTACAAGATTGCGAGGATGGTCAAGTACAAATTGACAAAGAGGACGACTACTGCTGCTGCATCTAGTAAACAAGTCGATCCCCCAACCCATAAAACACGTAGCAATTGAAATTTATCTGTTCGAAAGAAGATGTACTACTTTCCAATTATTTTTATGAAAGTTACCAAACAATTAATTGGGGTGTTTTATGGAGTTGTATGTCTTAGATGATATGACTGAGTTATACGTACAATTCCATTTTCTTTAAGTCACAAATGCGTTTGGTTGCGAAGAACATTACGTTTTATATTCCGATGTATGTAAAATAAGAAAAATGTTCAGAAGACCATATTTGTGTACTAATCGGAATTTGATTGGCGGCCGACGGGGGTTTATTTTATGTTGTGCTTGAGATTTCCGTTCAAAAATTTCATAATCGAATCACATCACCATCAAAATTTTCGGCATATTTGGAAATTTTGGAATCAGAGAAATCTAGGAACATAATTCGAAAATTCATTTATTTGATAAGCTTTCGAATATTCTCTAATGCCGTACATTTGATTGCTCCATAATCTGGGTCACGATTTGGTGCATCAAGTCGACCTTATTATTTTCCCTTTTTTACTAAGATCGGAGGTTGAAGCGAAGCTGCTCGGATTCAATTGACACTGGTTATTCTACAACACATATCGCCACCTTTTTCTCATCACTTAAGCTAATTCAAGGGCTTAGCTTTGAAACTTTAGTATTCTAGGCATTTGTTATCAACACTTGCATTGTTCCTCTTGCTGCTAGGGGATCCATTGTACTAGTAACCAAACTAATGACACCCTCGACTGTCCGTTTATATATAAGGAACGAACATCTGTTACATAGCCCGAACTATTACTTAATTATGACTTATTATTTAAAAAATAGCGCACCAATAATTTGGTACTTTATTGGCACGTTTTGTAATCGAAATTTGTGTACAAATTAGTATTTTATGTTACGTAATTTTTGTTTAGATACGTACCAAACCAAGGTATTGGTAAGTTTATATTATCATAATTTTGGTATGTAAAAAACTAATGGCAAGTTATGTGTAATCTTAAAACCTATCGGTACGTTTCAAGCCAATATAAGTATATTTTAATTAGACATGGGTGCACAATGATTAATTCCGAGGGCAAAGCAACCTACACTTAAATAAGATTTTTTTTTTAGGTTTTAACCTAGATGGTTTTATAAACCTAATTTAAGTCCCTATTATTAAAACTTATCATATTTAAGTCTTTATAGCACATTTATTATATATAACTTACTATCCGAAATCGTCTACCCGTCCATAAATAATGTATTTTCTTGTGCTTCAATCATATAAATAGAACAACTTATTCAATTTCTTATAATTAAACAAAAAGTCAACAACAATACAAAACCATTTATATTAAAAAAAAAAAAACCCCTCATAGGTTCGAAAGTATCAGCACATAAGTTTTGGTACAATTGCATAGATATATATATATATATATATATATATATATGTTTCGGTACGATTGCATTGGTATATAAGTTTCGGCACGAATGTATCGATACATAAGTTTTAGCACGAATATAGCAGTACGATTGCATCAGTACATAAGTTTCAATACGAATGCATTGGTACATAAGTTTCGCTACAGATGTATCAATACATATGTTTCAATACGAATGTATCGGTACATAAGTTTCATTACGATTGCATCGGTAAATGAGTTTCGGTACAAATGTATTGGTACATAAGTTTCAGTACAATTGCATGAGTACATAAGTTTTGGTACGAACTTATCGGTACATAAGTTTTGGTACAAAATGTCTCGGCACATAACTATAGTACATACATAGGTACGTAATATGCATATACATATATATATATAGAGAAATTTACGCACAATAAAGAATATATGATATATATGGCTTTTTTTTTATTGTGGGAACTTAATAATAATTGTCAAATAGTATTTTTATTGTTTATGAGGATCAAATATTACTATATATATTTTATTAGCATCAGATTTGTTTACTAATTCAATGTATTTTATTTTGAAAACAGTTTTCAAATATAATAAAGATCCCTTTCTCATGGTAGCTATTGAACGGGACAAGTATTTGTTCGAGAAGTGTGAGTTATATGCCAGTGCGATAAACCTATACCGTTCAGGAAACGATCATGTGGTATTGGAGAAGGGCACAACCTACTTCGCACCTTATCTGACTCTCTATTGTGAAAATGGAATGAAACTTACAATTGATGTGGAGTAACTATATATTATAATTATAAACATGCATGATGTAGTATGTTTATCAAACAGACCCCATTGTTAATTATGTCATACAAGAAAGACATTATATATAATGAAGAAATAATTGGAGCTAGATGTATGGTTTTTTGTTCTTGTCCATTCCCAAAGCCAGTGATTGATCGCTAGCGTCGCCAATATTTAGTAAATATGTCAATCATTTAAACTATTTCAACAATCAAAATTTGTTAATTCCACATTCCGGCCATTTCCCATGAAAAAAAAAACACTCAATTTGTTTATTAAAAAAATAAGAAAAAGAAGGGTTTGGGCAGGAGTACAAACTTAAAAATTAAAAATACCAAAATAAATCAAACTCCATATGAATACCAATTTAAACTTAGTAGTTTACCAATGCTGTAATTCAAGAACAAATTTAGTTTTTCGTTCATTTTCTTGGCAAACCAATCATATGCAACTTACGTAGTCGGGGCTTTCAATTCTTACAAAAAGTTGCAAAACCATAATTTTAAGGGTTCTTTAGATATAGACCCTTTCAACTCTTATTCTCTAGATAAAAACTCACTTAATTCTAAACATCCAAATAAAACCTAAATTTGAAAAAAGACTACCAACTTGTGCCACAATATTCAAATCAAATCAATAAATGTTATTACTCACCTTAATTATAATGAACAAATAATTATCACACATACTATTACCCCTAACATACACACACACACACACACATATACGTCAAAAGTATATAGTGCTACTAATTTACCTATAAGGTAAGATCTCATTGACTTTCCAACACGAGACACCATCATGACACAAGTTAATCGAATAAAGATGTCACTTTATGTGTTGTAAGCACCCTCGCCCTTGATCCTCTTTATCAGTTTCCAACGAACCATCCAAACTGACATTCATGTCATAAAATTAAAATTTTAGACTAAAAAATTTATGACATTCATGTCATAAAATTAAAAAATTTAGCCATAGCCAGAGGCCAGCGGCGAAGGGGGGGTTGACAGCTAGGGTTTGGTTGAGGGAGAGAGAGCTTTTAGCATAAGATACACACAACATAATGTAACACGCATGCTTCATGCATATAAACCAACATCATTCAAGCAATCCAAATTAATTCATAAATTGACCCCGATTATGAGTTCAAATACACAAGCATAGAAGAATAAGGAATATTTACAATAATAATTATTCAGTAAATGTGATAATTAGTTATGGAAATATCATATGGCATTTGGAGAAGGCAAATCAAAACGTACGAATTGATTGCGTAATAGGCTCAATGTTGTATATATAAATGGATTGGTAATGTGGTTTTGTATTTTGGAGTTGATAGTGAAAGGTTAAGGTTACATATATACTTTGTTTGTGGAACGATCAAAGATGGCAGTTGGAATGCACAAAATTTTGGTGATTGGAATCGGCATTCTTGTCAGCTGTTTGCTGCTCCAATGCGAACAAGTTGATGCAAAAGAATATATAGTGGGGGATGAGAAAAGATGGAGCCCTGACTTAACCCAGTGGACTGAGGGCAAGAAGTTCAAGGCTGGGGATGTTTTGGGTAAAATTACTGAAATTTGGTTTTCTTAAATTTTTAGCATAAGACACACAACATAATGTAACACGCATGCTTCATGCATATAAACCAACATCATTCAAGCAATCCAAACTAACATTCATGTCTTAAAAACTGAAAAATGAACTACTACAAGGAAACACAATCGATGATATGTGAGACTTTATTCTCCAAAACGCCCACTCACGAGTGACACCACATGACGTCTCATATGGGAAACCAATTCCCGCATTGACGACGGTCAAGGTAGAAGCCATGTCCCCTGACTGTGTCATGCGCTGATACACTCAATGTAGCACCAAATACACACAACATAATGTAGCATGCTTCATACAAACAAATATCATCCAAGCAATCCAAACTGACATTCATGTCATAAAATAAAAAAATTTAGACTAAAATAAATCAAACCCCCAGGTTTTCGAAGAAAAGGCTTACAGGGTGTTGGGTTGCGCACAAGTGCATAATATGCATATACATATATATAGAGAAATTTACGCACAATGAAGAATATATGATATATATGGCTTTTTTTTTATTGTGGGAACTTAATAATAATTGTCAAATAATATTTTTATTGTTTATGAGACCACCCAGACGTAAAATGTATACCATGACACGCCTCGACCCTGATATTCCCCGAATATCAGGATAGAAACGTGTTGGCCGATACTTAAGGTGACGAAAGCCATTAATTGATACAAAAGCTAAGAATAAAAAATAAATAAGGGTTATGAATTTAAAATTCAAAGAATTAATAATTTAGAAACGTGTTCAGAGCATACAACTAACTAGAGTTCTAAAAGAATTAATGTAAAATTTAATAAATAAAAGGATGTGTGTCCTACACCGAGAGGACTCGAATATGCCAATGCGAAAGCGTTGACGTCGGGATCGTATGTCTCAATTCTAAATCCTGAAAGGGGGCGCAAAACAAGGGTGAGTGGACCAAGTTCATATATACAATAATAATAAAACAGTTATCAAAGTACTAATCCCTATGTTTATATAAAGAAAATTACTAGCATAATAAGTGATAGTTTTACTGAAAACCCTAGCATGCCAAAAACATCTCAAAAGACATATCGCGGAAATTAAAACATCAATCGTCTCACAGATCGTCTCGTAAGCGCGGTGTGCTGCCAGTAAGATCACTGAATAATAATATAACTCCCGGCTCTATGCCAGCACCGTGGTCTCTGCGCCTGTAGCCATAGATTACTAACTCCCGGCTCAATGCATGCTCCGTGTCCCTCAACCCGTAGCTAGGGATTATTTCTCCCGGCCTATCTGCCAACACCAGATCCTCGCCCCAGACAGCATAGTGTCCACTAGGTACGCACAAATAGTTACGCCTCTCATAAATAACCATTTCATAGTATAAAGTCATTCATCGTCTATACTATAAAGAGAGGTTTCTAAAACATGTTCTAGCATCCTATCGTCATCCATAAGATAGTCTACCAGTTCATGGCTTTTATAGAAAATACGATATAACAAAATATAGCTCAATATAGGCCAACAACTAATTCCTTACAAAATAACGAGACGATAATCAACATTTCAATAAACCTGCTCAACATAAAATCAGTTCATAAACTCGTAAGGCATGCTATTCATTTATGCAATTGAATTAAAAAATCATGTAATTTTAGAAGGGGTCCACTCACAATACTTCGCCGTCGAAATGCCATGCTGCTAGCGAAGACAAAAACGCCACTATAATTGCCCCTAATCACATAAAGGTTACATTTAGTCAAACTCTACTCAAACGATTGAATTTGGGAAAACGGACTTCAAAAATGGGTCTAGGACTTCGAAATTAGCCTAGGAGAGGTCCCGGACAAAATTCCGAAAAGTCAACCCTAAAAGTCAACGTTGACCGTTCACCGGTTAAAGTCAACGCTGACCATTGACCAAGTCAACGCTGACCATTGACCGAGTCAACTGGGTCTGGGCTTAGTGTTGGATAGGTTTAGGGCTTAGGTCTTTGGGTTTGGTCTTAAGGCCCCAGGGTTTAGGGTTTTTAGGTAAACGGGCCAAAGGCCCTGATCTCACATGGCCCAAAGGCCTGTCTTTTTTTTCCTGGGTTGGATTCAAGTTACACAGGCTCAAAGGCCCAACTTCCTTACGGCCCGAAGGCCTGCTTCAAAAGGTTTCACAATTAGGCTGGGCTTTTAAGCCTGGCCCGATTGTATTTGGGTTTTAAGGAAATAAAACAATAAAATTTAAAAAGGGTTTTGGGTTGGGTTTTCAAATGGTTTGGGCTTGGGTGAAGGCCTAAGGCCCTAGGTTCTTCTACACGGCCTGAAAGGCCTGATCTCGCCGGGAATGAACACCGGAGCTTCTACAGCTCCGACCGACTGAAAACGAGGGTCCTAGACTCCAATCTAAGTACCAAACGAAAGCACAAGGTGAGAGGAGAAGTTTACTACCTTTGGTTCGCCGTAGAACGGTCGAAGGTGACCGAAAATCCCCTCGACAGCCACGAGCTCGCCGGAGATGGGTTTGGCACACTCGAGCTGATTTCCTTCAAAAACCTTGTAAAAAAGATGATTTAAAGCTTAATATATCTCAACCACGCAACAACCAAGACAAATTTGAGGTAATCTGAAGCTTACCTAACCGAAAAATCAAGGGAACTCGCCGGAGAGTTCCTGGGTTCCACAGTCCCAGCTGCGCGGAGAGAGAAAGGGAGAGGAAGATGAGGTTGATGATGATGATGCCTTCCTCGCAAGTGATGCAGCTGTGAGTGTGTGTGTTCACGGGAAAGAGAAGGAGAGAGACGAGAGGGTTTCAAGAGAGAGAGAGATAGAAGTGCAGAGAAAGAGAGAGAAAAAGAAAGAGGGGTCACGGAGTGGGGGACCGAAAGAGAGAAAATGGAGGTTAGTTAGGGTGCTGCCACGTGGCAGTTTGGGGTAAAACAACATATAAAGGTCGTACCCAGTGCACAAGGCTCCTGCTTTACACAGGGTCTGGGAGAGGTGAATGTCGGCTAGCCTTACCCCCATTTATGGAGAGGCTACTCCCAAGTCTCGAACCCGAGACCTACCGCTCATGGGCGAAGGCACTTGCCATCGCACCAAGTGTCCATCGTCTGCTCGCAACATAGCTCCAACACCAGCTATTCCAGGGTTTCCGTTTAATGTACCATCAAAATGAAGAATACAGGAACCCTGCATATTTAACCTGTCCCTGTAGTATCTTTGGTAAGTAAATACGTTGACATTGTGGAATTCACATTTATTTGGTGGTGGCTTTTAGTTTCTACCTGGTGTTGATTTTGTGCATGCTGTGCTGGGAAACAAGGTTGGGAACACCAATGCTGGCAAGAGTACTCTTAAATCAATTGACTGGAGCCAATGTGCTTACTGAGGATTGATTATTTGCAACCCTAGATCCAACCACAAGAAGGGTTCAGGTAGCTTGATCATACTCTCACAAATTTCTTATTACATGATCATAAGTTATCTACCGTATAAACAACTGACAAGTTAGAGAAGCAAAATTTTGATTTTGATGTAGTACCGAACAGGCTTCAGGGGATGCATGAAATTTGGTTAACATGCTATACCACTTTGATTCTCCACGGATAATGAGCTACTTTAGGTTCTATACCCCGGAATTTGGACTTCACGCAATCAGTTAGTTAATTATGAATCAGTTCCAGTTGAACCGTCGGGCTTTTGCATTGAGTCCATGATTTCTAAGTCTTTTTCTAGTAGACATGCTAGTCTGACGTTGAAAATTTTAGAATCTAAAATTTTACTCGTCTGGGTGGTCTTTTCTTATAGTTACTCGTCTTTCAAAGACTCTAACCATGCTTTTCGTCATGTAGATCGGTGAAATACGTGAAGGTCTGGGTGTTGTAATCAACAATGTTGCGGAGTACCAAGCTGTTATTTTAGGGTTAAATTGTGCTCATAAAAAAAATGGTTTTACAAGGATTTCTGTCCAAGCCGACTCCGAACTCGTGTGTATGCAGGTTGGTTAGTACTGTGATTATATTCTTCTACTTAAGGTGGTTTATTTGTCTTTGGTTGTTTGATACTTTAGCAGTTTTGCGGTTTTCCTTTTCCTTTTACTCCTTGTTCTGTGTTAACAGAGAAAGATAACTTGACATGTTCAGGGTTTATGGAAGGTGAAAAACCAGAACATGTCGGATTTGTATGAAGAGGTGAAGAAACTGAAGGATAAATTGCTCTCCTTCAAGATCAGCCATGTCCTGAGGCTGAGCTAAGTCGAGTCTATTTATCTTTTGTGCTGTATTGCTTTCTGTGGGTTTGTATTATACTGCCTCACGAAGGCTGCTTATAATATTCTGACATGCTCGTGTGTACCTTCAAAGGAACGAAACTCCAAGGCAGATGCTCAAGCAAACTTCGCAATCACTCTTGCCGGTGAGAGACTCGAGATATAATTTTGCATTAATTTAGTGGATTCTGCATATGGTCAATTGAGATGATTTACCGATGTCATTTGGACATGTTAACTTTGCAGATGGTCAGGTCCAGGAGGAGTCCGCAAAGTAGTTTTGACGCTGATGCAGACGACCTATTTTTTGAAGAGTATGCCCCCTGATGAGTTGAGGATGTTATGGCTTCCAGCTCTGTGTTACAGCGACCACAGTGGCTTTCTGGTTTCAACACTGCCATTTGTTGGGTATAAGTTTACAACGTAAAGCATTTCGACCACAAAACTGAAGCTTCTGTTTACGTGCAACTTTGGAGACGGATTATTTCTGAAATTCGAGCCTCGGATGAAATAAGGCGCGATACAAGGGAGATTCAGTTTGACAAACCACACCCGAAAGAAAGAAGACGCGAATAGGAAAGGATTTGTTAATCAAAGAAAAGATGTGAGCAGGATGTGAAAATTTCTTACTAGCATTCCGAAATCAAAGAGAAATTCTAAGACCTGATTTCCATTTACTATCACAAAACCAAAACCAACAGTTGCATATGTTAGACTTGAGAAATTGAAAATCTTTACAACTTCAGTCGTTAAACTTCTACTGGCAATTTTTACCATCAAACTCAAAAGAATTGAAATGCCTTCTACTGCAAGCGATTAATCCTCTGTCTGATCTGTGTTGCCTTCGCCGGTCATGGAACCGGCGGCTAAAGAGTTAGAGTCCTCTGAAGACTCCCCAAACTCTTCCTTGTACATTTCTTCAATCATAGGTTTCCACAGCCGGACACGCGCGTTTATGAACCAATTCGCAACCTGAAACAGAGACAACATGGATGGATCATCAGAAAATCGGACTGTTACATATGACCTACAGCATATGAAACTAATTAGGACGTAATCAAGTTGTTGGAACTTACTTGGTTCTTGGACAGCCCTGTTTGTGATGCCAACAGCAGCTTTTCATTGTCATTCGGGTAACTGTATGATCAAAACCAAGTTAAACACAATTAATTCGGATTAATCCCAATGGAGGGTTGATTAGTTCTTGGATTGCTTACGGGTGGAGGAAGTGTTCGAAAAGCCAAGTGCGAAGAATCGCAACAGATGTCTCTGGCAATCCACGAATTGGTCTGAAAGCTTGGCGTTGGCTCTGGAAAATGCCGAGCTGTTGAAGGGACATTCTTTTGTGCCTGCACTCTCTATCAAGCAAGTTCAGTTGCGATAACCCGCTGCTGATTTTCGGAACATCTTGCAGCAGCTTTCGCTTCTCAGTGTAGATTTGTGATACTATGGCATCTCTCAAGCTGCAAAAATGCCTTGACATGGCCTTGAGTGCCAGAGCTGTGTAGGACTTGGCTGCTCCTTCCCCTACCACCATCTCAAATGATGATATCACTTGTTCCATTTGATGGTAGTACGTCCCACATCTATCCTCAACCTTAAAAACATCAAACAAATTAAGTCTTAAAAAAAAAAACAAAATTGTTCCCTAAACCCTAAGGCAGTGTGTCCGAGGCCTTGTACCTAAGTTCTAATCCCCCCATTCCGTAGATTAAACTAGTTTAGAATATCGTCTTGTTTAAAAACTTAAACTAAGCATCAAGATTGTACCTGTTCCAATAATGTGATGAGGCTTGCAAGTCTAGCTTGCAATTCGTGTTTGTCGGAGTTCATGAGCCCGGCATTGCAAGACAGCTCTGCTTTTAGCTCAGAGGAGAGCCCCATACCGCCTTGCCGCCCTTCTCCGTACAATTTCCCAACATATTTCTCATTGCTAATGTCAACCAATTTTCCGCCAACATTAACAATCTCTTCCAAGAGGGACTGAGCCGGTTTAAGATATTTCGAATTTGCAATGACAGCAGCTACGGATTCTGCTCCATAAGAAGTGGAGCAGGATCTATTCAGTGCCCTTGAATGCGAAGCAAGTGTGCCGCCCACGAAGCAGTACTCATCGCCTACGTGCTCAACTCCCGGGTTGCAAGCCTCCCCTGATTCTTCCCCAATGAGGAAGTTGTTGTACCGGTACTGGACAGAAGGAACAAGCATGCGGGAACCGAGGGAGAGCGAAAGCCGCTGTGGTTCTCCACTGATGCGCCAGTAGGAGCTTGAACAAGGTCTACTGATCGGGGCATTCTTTCGCCGAGGGAGTGAATGCCGGCGAGGACTCCGAGAGCTTGTGGAACTGTGGTACTGGTTTGAAATGAAGGCGGATAAGCGTCAAGGTGCTGGCTTTCCAGATGATGGTTTTGAGCAGAAATGGAGTCTGAGATTATGAACTGGTGGAAAATGCTTGAGGAGGGATTTGAAGGTGAGTCTTGTGACACCATTGCAAACAAGAAGTTGAAAAGCTCAAAACTTTCGAAGGGGAGAAAACCAAATTGAAAAATCTAATTCATGATCATAGGAGGGAGAGAGGGAGAAGGAGAGAGAGAGAGAGAGAGAGAGATGGGGAGATGGGGAGATGGGTATGTCAAGGACAAAAGCAATGCAACTATAGTTTGATGAGCCCAGATATAAATAGGACTTGGCTATTGAGGTAGAAGGCCATCTCAGAATCTTTGGTGAATTTGTGGCCATAAAATGGCTTAAAAGAAAAGCACTTCTGACAAGAGGAAGAAAAACCCAATTTGGTGAATGTAAACCTGAGAATTTGAGCCATGATGACCCCTTTTGAATGGCAAAACAAAGAGCAAGAACCAATCCGTGATTTGGGTTTCAAATCCTACCTTTAATGAAGAAATGGTTCTCTCTCTCCTCTCTCTTTTCTTTCTCTCTCTCTCTCTCTCTCTCTCCTCTGTGTGTTAAAGAGAGAACAGGCCTAATCTAAATGTAAGCAGCAGCAGAAGGGTAATGCTAGGTACCATTTATTTAAATTATATTTTGTAAATTATATAACAATTTACAAAAACGATCTAAAAAGTTAATCTATCTAGCATTACTCGCAACAGAAAAGCTAGAAACATAGACTTGTGCTAGATCCTTAACGAAGGCAGGTTCATTGGGCAAGTAAACACAGAGAAAATGACAAGAGAAAAGATGGTCCCAATTTTCCCTGACTTACAAACAACCAACAGCCAAAAAGCATCCAAGCCTCCAGCTTTAGTGTCTGCAGTCACATTTCCTTTGGACTCTCAAATCTACTTTCCTTCGTCTCTCTCTCTCTCTCTAAACATTGTGTATGTCGCTGTCTCTTTCTCTCTCCTCACTTTCTCTCTCTTGTTGTGAAAGGCAGAAGGACAGCAGCTGGTCTCAGCTAGTTCAGCACGTTAAATTGTTCTATTCATATGCAGTGCTGCCGGGTTTGCTCTCCACTGTAATAAAAGGAGGGAGAGGAGAGAGGAGGGAAAAAGCGGGGTGTCTTTTGCACACTCCCAGTTCTAAGATTGTCAGCTTCTGAGCCTCTAAGCATATGGGAATATCTTGCTTTTTCAGGTATCGTATTCATGCTTCATACATATGGAGATTGATGGATCTGGATTCTCTCCGCTCCTATTTTTAACTCCCCTCCCTCCTCTCTTATCTGAAGTCACGTCATTATCTTGTTTTAACCTTCTCAATAAAGAGAGAAAGAAGAAGAGGAAACTAAGAGAGAAGAGGAGGGAAGGGATGGGACGAGAAGGGAAAAATGACGGAAGAGAATCCAACTTTGCGATCGAGATATATAGAGAGAGAGGGACAGATGTTGAAAGGACACTGATTTCACAATCTTTCAAATAATGAATAGAAAATGTAAATGGGTTCATGTGATTTTGATGGAGATAACCTAGATGTCATTGTGGTGATAATCAAAGTTAATTTTGAACTCTCATTCAAGTTAATAGCATTTTCGATGCAAGTAAGTTTCTCATTGTATTAAGAAGGAAAATTTTGTGTAGGGTCGACTAACTAGGGCAAAACTCCCACTAAGCAGGATAAGCTTGTGGTCAGACGAGTCAAAATGCATTGAGTCCCATGTTTTCTAATAGATGACCAACAAATGAAGCGGTATGGATGCCCCCATACCAAGTTTTCTAGAGAGGTAAGAAAAATTTGTGTAGCACTGATCAATTGGGGCGATTTTCACATCTAATAAAACTAACGTGAAGTCGAATGAGACTAAAATACAAATAGGCTATGTTTTTAAAAAGAATCTACATACGTGACCTGGATGCCCCTACTACACAAGGTTTTCGAGAAAGAGGTAGGGTGGAAAAAAATTTCAATATGCTAGGAACACGACTTGATATACGAATTGTCTTCATATAAGTGGTTTAAATTTATTTTTTTTTACAAATATTCAACCAATTATATAGTGACATTTGATATACCAATATATTTCCCGCACACTGCAAATTTTATCTTGAGGTTGAGGTAGGGCGTTGGTTTGCTGGTTATTTTGGGGTGATCTGATCCGATGCTTTAGTAATGATTGCCATCTTTGTTCCTTTGGCCTCCTCCACTTGTCGCTCTCTTACTCTCGTTTCTAACTTTGTAATTTTATAAAAATGGTGTGATATTCAAACACCTATTTTTACTTCTTCCACATCTTTTTAGTTTTCGACCGTCAGATCGAAAAAATTGAAGAATATCAACATATATATATATTAACAAAAGTTGTGTGAAAAGTAAAAAGAGATGTGTGTATAGCACATCCCTTATAAAATAATAGGACACACCCCTCCCCACTAAAGTCTAGGGCCCACAACCCTGTAGATTAAAGGTGTCTCGGCCCTATCTGCAAAACCTGAACAGTGAACATCCCTCCCACTCCATCCCCTCGCAGTAATTTTCAAATGCCAACAATTTTCTGCCAGAAAAAAATTGTTCCCGTGATCATATTGCTTTGGGATATCCACCCTCCAATCCGATCTCCTTCCAAGTCCATAAGAAAAATCGAATGCTTGGATAAGTATGGTTCTTCATAGTCCCATGAGAGAGAGAGAGACTAACATACAACCCAGTGTACATCTTTTTGGATTTGTTTCTTATCGAACATTGCGTGACGAGAGAGACAAACTTTTTTATACCTTACTCTCTTTTGACATATCACGTACATGAATGTGTTCTTGTGTACGACCGGCTGTATGCAATGTTCTTTTACGAATACACATGGTTGATATAAAAAAACTGTCTCACTTTTGTATGTGTAGTTGCACAGACACGTAATACACTACATTTTTATCTTATAAAAGAACATTCTCCCGACACGTCACGTGAGAATATAAACAAATACTTCGGATTATACACCCGATTTCATGTAAATCTGGTATCAGACTTATTTCCCAAATGAGATTATACATTTTGATGTCACACTCACAGAGTTTCCAAGTTCCTTATTCAATGAATGCACAAGATATTCCTTCACCTTTTATCTTTACAAAACTAGTTTACAAATATGCCTAAGGCTTCTTCTTCTTCCACCAATCTCTGTTATATTACTAGTTGGTATCAGTATCATACACACATCTACATCTACACCCCCTTTGCTACAGCAACAAAACAAGCATTCTGTTTCTCGACGATCATTGCCTGAGACCGCTTACCACCCAAAACTTGGAGGCGATAATCCTCTCGGACTACAAAATCAAGTAACGCGTGGGTATTGCCATATCTGAATCAAATGTTGCTGCTCTGGATCCTCATAGTGACAATCCAAAGAAGCTCGCATCGCTACCTGTTACATGGGATCCGGTTGATGGAGGAAATCCATCGTGCTCTTCGCAATGCCGCAACTCCAATGCAAGTGACACGTCGTTGCCAACCGTGAAATGATCCAACCCTGGCATGTCATATGTGGAACTGTGACCCGACTTCGAGTCATGCATTTGCCCTGGTTCAATGCTGTCAGCAGTTGCGGATATCAGGCTTTCGTGCAACTCCACTTTCCTGTCCTCCGATGCTGAGAAATCGACTCTTGCTTCTTCTTTGAGTGCATTTTCTGGTGAAGATTTCGCATCCGTGTCCAAATCACCGAATTCTTCTTTGTACATTTCCTCAATCATGGGCTTCCAAAGCCGTACCCTTGCATTGATAAACCAGTTGGCAACCTGATAACGAACAACGCTAGTTACGACACTACGCAAACAAAACAAGGGTCCATATGGCCTTGGTGATGTAATATTTCAAGGTAAGCTACGAGATTCAAATGATAAGGAAGAAATTACAACATTGAGTCGTCATGTTGATGGCATTGAAAACAAAGGACCAAGTATTAACGTTCATATTTTGAACTGACTGAGAGTTGAATCCCAATTCAAAACCATGCACGTAAAGAAACCATAACGGGAAAAAGGGAGTTTTAACAAAACACTTTCGGTACTGTTCACTTTTAACAAAAAACCACATTTATACCTTTCCTTGATACTATTCATTATACCTTTAAAAATGGCTTTTCATTAAAAGGGAAGTTTTTTTGGACTTTTCGTTAGTTTTCCCAAAAAATAAATGGCGATGCAACAGGAATCTTACCTGGTTTCTCGTTAATCCTGTCTGCCTTGCAAGCATAATCTTTTCTGAATCCTTTGGGTAGCTGGAGGGACACCAAAAACCACAAAAAATCAGTGACCAAAATTCTTAAGAGATTGGCAAGTATGATTTTCAATCAAGGCAAAAAGGTGCTCAAGTACATACGGAAGAAGGAAATGTTCGAACAGCCAAGCACGAAGGATTGAAACAGAGCTTTCCGGAAGTCCTCTTTGAGGCCTCCAAGCATGCTGCAATCCACCAAGCTGCTGAAACGCCCTCTGCTGTCTGAGTTGCTGGTCCACGTAGCGGAGGCGGGGTATTACTGATCCTTGACCATCCGATGAATTATCTTGCTCTCCCAGTCTTTTCCGCGTCACTTGAATTTGGCCCTTGATTGAATCACGCAAACTGCGAAACTGACGGGAAATTGCTTGGAGAGCAAGTGCAGTGTACGGTCCAGCAGCCCCGTTCCCAGCCACCTTGTCAAAAAATGACACCACAGCTTGCATTTGATGGTAATATTGTTTGTACCTTCTATCTACCTGCAATAACGGCATATACATTGATGACGTTGCAAAATAAGTAACATAAAAAGGATCTACGACCAAATCATTAACAAAAGTTTCTACGAATTGCGCTTATTTACCTCATCCAACATGGATAAAAGTTTGGTCTTCTTGTTCTGCAAATCCTGCCGTTCTGCTGCTGATAACTCGACAGAAGAAATGGTGCTCGATTCAACAGGATCTGATGACCTCCGTAAATGTTGATCATTCCCATCAGTCTCTTTGGAACCATCTGATCCGCTCCGCTTAAAGCTTTGGTTCTTGTCCAATCGAGATTGCTTCAAAGCCTTTTTGACATTGACCACTTCATCAAGCAACTGTTGCGCGGCCTTGAGGTACTTAGAGCTTAACATAGCGTTCGTGGAACCTAGCGAGTCATACGCATATTCCGAATGCATTTCTTTGGATCCCGATGAACACATAGGATTGTAGAAAGCCTGTGTTTTGACAGCCTCATGGCCGCCTCCATATAACCCCGATGCCAAGCTTTCGAAGTTTCTAAACTCCTCGCTCTGATTGTACTCCTCACCCTTCCCTATCATTGGAGCATTGCTCAAAACCGAAGAGAGACTTGAATTCGGATATTGGTACTGAAACGAAGGCAGAGAAACTGGTTGCGGAATTTGGGTGGAAAGGCTAAGAGACAATCCATGATCCTGCATACTATGTTTCCCAATCAAGGACTCGCCGCCAACGTCACAGTCCCTGACTGGATCACTCGTTGGCGGTATAAACATCATTTCACTCCTGCCCCCATCAGAGTCAGCATATTTCTGAGGGGAGAAGTTGCCGCCGGACAAGACCTCGGAGTAGGATCCGGCGCCATAGGAAGCCTGATTCAGATACATCATCATGTTTCCGGGCGGTTCGGGGTACGAGGGAAGTTTCTCGTCCCCTTGATAAGGGTTCAGTAAGTTTTGATTACTCAAATTTTGGAAATAGGTAGCCATAGCTTAATAGCCTAGTGTCTTCTTCTTCCTCTGTCTCTCCAAATCTTTGAGTAAATATTGAGGGACGGAAACCAAAATTTACCAAAAACCAATCGAATTGGTGACACCCATTTAACCAAATTACCAATTCCTACCAAGAAAAACAGGAAATTCATCAAATTTACCAAACAAAAACACCCAAAAATTACCAAAAGCAAAAACCCAATTCAGAAGGTATGCAAGCAGAGTGATCAAACCAGAACACAAGCAAAATCTAACCCAAAAGTCAAGTAATCTAAGGTTAATTAAACCAGTGGAGATTAATGCTACAAACCCGAAACTAATACTGATTTCATAGCCAAAATACTAACTTAATCAACATAATTAATTAAAATCGAAAACAGAGAAAAGGGTAAGAACTGAAGCAGCAGGGGAAGTAAGAAACCGAAATTACCCGAAAAAAATGGAGAAACTTTGAAGAATTGAAGGGAATTGCAGAAAAAGGAAGAAGAAGAAAAGTCGAGCTATCTTCTTCTACTCTCCGGAATCGAAGACAGACACGAATCCCGAGAGATATGTTTCCCGAAGAAGACCAATCTCCTTATCATTGGAACAAAGGCACCTACTTCGGCCGACTATATTTATATTTTAATGACCAATTGAATAATCGAAGAATTCGAATATCAACACCAACTTGAATTTTTTAATGCCCGGAAGAAATTTAAAATTCAAATACTCTGTTTTTTGTGTATTTTTTAATGGGGATATTGGTTTGGCAATATGTATACGCTAACCCAAGAGAAAACAGAGCCAGAAAGTTCTTGAAGAGAGAGAGAGAGAGAGAGAGAGAGAGAGAGAGAGAGAGAGATGGAGACACAGAGAGAGAGAGGGAGAGATGAAGAGAGAGAGAGAGAGAGAGAGAGAGAGAGAGAGAGAGAGAGAGAGAGAGAGAGAGCAGGGGAGTGGAATGTGGGTGGTGGTGACGGGTGAAGGGTGACGGGTGGTGGTGGTGGTTGTTTGCTTAAGATTGTTCAATCAAACGTTATTACGCTAACGGCTAACTAACCACCAGTTGGTGAGTTAAGTAAATGTCGTCCAATTTTCTTTCTTCATTTATTTTAATTTTTTATTTTTGAAAATTGCAAGTTTATGACTTAAGACTTTTCTACGTTTGGGAAATTTTCAACTGATATAGATTTTTTTTTAATTTTACAATTAATCATCTGAACTTTTATTGTGTGACAATGTAGTGTTGTATGTATGTGAGAATTCAACGTAGGAAACTTGACGAAACAAAATACAATGTATAATGAGATGGTTACACTACTAATTGTATAGAGGTGTTTTATTTATTTATTTATAAAACATCACAAATGTTGTTTATATAGGTAGTTAAATGCAACTTATTAACAATATCAATGTGATAAGTAGTAAGCTAGTAATGAAATACACCACCTCAAGGTAGATTGTGACCTTTTTTGGTCTTTCGACTCCAACCACAAGACTTTTTAAGTTTTGTCTTTATTTGGTCATGTGGGAGGTTTGCTTCACACTATTCACGTATCAGTCGAGTTCTTTGAAACGATCAAGTTTGCACATCGCTTCTCGATCAATTTATTCGGCCTTGATTGGAATTGGTATTGTTTGTACCATGCTTGACCAATCCCGAAACTACTGAGCACTGGTCAACGTTATATCGTCAAGGACCCAGAAGAGTTTTCCTCAAACCAGGAGGCCAATCACAGCGCAACACGTGTCGACATCAGAAGCCAATCATAGCGCGACACATGTCAACATCAAAAGCCAATCACAACACGACATGTGTCAATGTCAGAATGAAACTAGAAACTCTCTTCTATAAATAGAGATCATTCTCTCACAATATTTCCTAATGTCATTTGTACTAAATCATTCACTAGTACTCACTAAATGAGAGCTTGAACCTATGTACTTGTGTAAACCCTTCACAATTAATGAGAACTCATCTACTCCGTGGACGTAGCCAATCTGGGTGAACCACATACATCTTGTGTTTGCTTTCCTGTCCCTATCCATTTACATACTTATCCACACTAGTGACAGGAACAATCTAGCGAAGGTCCAAACTTAACACTTTCTGTTGTACCAAAGTCCTCATCAATTTTGTACATCAACAAGTATCAACATTTTTCAACATACACTTAAATTAGGGCAATTGGTGTGCTTATGAGGTTGTTTTCTCTCCACAAATCTAAATTCTTAGAGTATCACCTATACGTGTGGGATTAATTAGTTTTTTCCTTCAATGGTAGGATACTCATCATTTGAGCCCACAACTTTATAATGCGCCACACTAGATCATGGCCCTTAGGTACTCGATATTTAGGATACAAAGAGGAGTAAAGATGGACCTGTAAAACTAACCCAAACCAGGAAGGGTACTATATGCTTAATCTAGGTCAGACTATCACACACGAAACTTGATTTGGCCGAGACCAACTCACCAATAGATTTTTAGTGAGCATGCGACAAATCTTGATTTCCATGGTTGGATTACAAAGGTAATATAATCTATATCGTAGAACCATCCCACTATTGTGGTACATAATGCACTAAATCACAGTAGATGTAGCTGATAGCATAAGGCCCATCTAACATGTTTCCATTACATACTTCTTCACCAGGGTCAATCCCAACTCAAATACCCATCACTAAACTCTAAATCTAACTTTTTAGCCCCCTAAAATATATGTATTAGAGAAAGTTTAGGGGCAAGATTTTAAGGTTTTGGGATTTTAAGGCCACCTCCAACTGAGAGCTGGCCAGATGGCTCGTTTCAACCCTCCGGGTCTGGGCCTCCAAGACATTAATATTTTAATGAACAGTACATAGCCATATTTGCCTCCATCTTCAACTGATTGCCAAAGGGCCATATGGCTCGTTTTAGCCCTGTCATAAAAAATCGTCTCCAACCGAGGGCTAAAGGGTCATAGGGCCAAACATAATTTATTATTTAAATTTAAAAACTACAACAACCTAAATTTAAAAAGGGTGAAAATTATTTGGGAAATTGTGTAGAAATGGCTTAGGTATTTATAGGAAAAAAAGGGGAATCTTTTAAATTCATTAAAAAAAAATTTTGGCCAAAAAAAAAAAATTGAATCCAACAGTAACTAGCCGTTGGATTCAAAATTTTCCCTTCTATTTGTGTTGGTTATAACCGACACTACTTGTTTTATTCCTGTCGGTTATAACCGATAGGAAATCTGACAAAAAAAAAATTGGGTCAGACCTTTGGCCCTTTCAAATTTCATGGGCCCACGAGCCTTCTGGCCTAGCTCTCGGTTGGAGACAATTTTCGGGCTACTTTCGGCCCTCTGGACTCTTCGGTTGGAGTAGCCTAAACTCTCATTGGAGATAGCCTTAGTTATCCTCATACCTTACACGCACACATGGATGTTTTCGAAAAATGTCTTCTTAAATGCCACTTGATCATTATTTGATAAAAATACGAATGATACCATACAAAGGTACCAAATTGTCAAAATGCACGAAGTACAAGTGGTTGATTGTGAATTATTTAGAGCAAATGTTAAGGAAAACTAATGAAAATGACTTGAAAACTTTGAGTTTAACGATAAGGACAAAATAAAGGGTAAAATGAATAATATCAAAATTAACTTTTTAGTGTAAAAATGTGATTTTTCGTTAAAGTAAACAGTACCGGGAGCTTTTCGTTAAAGTTCCTCAAATGTTAATTGCACAAAAGTAGAAAATATACGGGGTATTATGCAATAAAAGGTTGTAGGTGGAAAACATGGAAGTGGCAAACTCCCATGTGCGGTGTAGTCAAAGGCTTGTAGGCTTGTAGTCGGTAGCTTGGCTATCGTGTCGGAGGACTAGTATTGTGCGTTTAGGTCTAAACTTTAACGACCGGATACCGGTCTGTTAACTCTCAACGACAGTCCCACCATTAAGCGCATATGAAAGTACAATTTCACCTTTTTTAAGTATGGACCTCCAAAGTACAACACAACCAAGCCCAACAGAAAAACAGAAAAAAAAAAACCAGAAGAGCTTGCATCCTGTACCGCTGCAACCTCTGCCACTGATGCCATAAGAAGAACCACCAAACTCGAACCAGTGGCCTAAAATCAAGCCAAATCGAGCCCCCAAAGGGCATAAAAAGAAGACTGCAACAACCTCCAAAGAACACATCGAAGATCGGCACCACAAATCGAAGGAAGCTCGTGAGAAACAACCATGAACGACAACGGCAACAAGGCCAAGTTAAGGCAAGAAGGTGGTGAGAACACTCGAGCATCAAGAAAATCCGAAGCTCTACACATCTTCCTTCTAAACGGAAATTGCGAAGAGTACTTATGGATTTTGCAAACCCAAAAAACCTTATATTAGGCTTTTTAATCAAAATAATTATGAGATTGGTATAACTCCTCATTTTAATCCTTAAATTTAAAATTGTGGTATTGAGATTGTCTACTGTCAATTATTTTGATAATTCCGTGAGAAATCTCCGTTAGATTAAGGGTATTTTCTTCATATCATTCTCTCCCTTGGAAATTGATGGTTTCTTTAATTTAACGCAAAGTTTTCACATAATGACTAAAATGATTGACCGTAGACAATTTCAAAAAACAATTATATCGATCTTAAATATCATAAACCAAAATAAGGAGTTATAACATTTCACGGACCATTTTGACTAAAAAGCCCTTAAATTATAAAGCGTTTTGCTTACCCCTAATTCAAGGTAACCGTCATAAATGCCATAACATAAATTTGAGACCTTTTATTTATTTATTTTTTAAATGACCTTATACTTAAGAAATGAGAAAATTAAATTTGAATTGAGTTTGAGCAATTAAGTTGTTTATAAATGCTTTCTAAAGTTTAATTAAATTGTCTGGACTAAAAAGTTTGAAAATCTCAACTCTAAAAAAAAGATACATGCTCACCATTCACCAAACAAATGGCGAATTTAATAAGAGAGATTAGAAAAATAGTCTGGAAAGCCTTTTCGGAGACGTTGTGATAGTCTGGTACGAGGCCTATCGGTGCCAACTAACTGTTAGATGAAGGAATTAGGTTGCTTGATGGTTCAATGACCATTTTGTGAGGAGGGTAAGGCTGCTTTAGTAGGTCAATGATCAAGTCTTTATTTGTAGTTCGTCTCACATAATCCTCTTATTATAAACGTTTTGAAAATTCCACTTTTATCATCAATATATTTATTTCTCTTCAAAACCTTGTCTTAAAATTGCCAACCAAACCGTTTCCACTAGAAATACTAGCATATGGGCACACACAAAGTGTGTGAGGATTTTTTTTTTATTTTTTAATTTATTTTTATTTGGGAAATAGAAGGAGAGAGGAAAAGAAAAATAGAGAATGTGGGAGTGGGATTTTTTTTTAATTAGAGATATGTTAGGATTATATGTAGGTGAGGCTTTGAAGAAAAAAAAAACAGCAAAATTTGGTTGTGTGAAATTACATTTCTGCCCCATATTTCTTATTTATGTTATGTTTTAATTAGAGAGTTAAACTGGTAATTTCATAGAATTTTGGTTGACAATAAGTGTTATATTAATTAGTAGAGATAATCTAAACATGGTACTCCACCAAATGGACCTAATTATAATTTAGATTAATGACCCAATTGTTCATATCCAAACATTTAAAAACCAGTAATCATTTTTCTTAAAACAAGAAACTAATTAATGATTATCATAAAAAAAATTAAGGAAAATAGTTTGAAAACTTTAAGTTTTAACGATAAGAAAATAAAGGATAAAGTGAATAATATTATGATTACCTTTTTAATGTAAAAATATGATTTTTCGTTAAAATAAACAGTATCGAGAGTTTTTCGTTAAAGTTAGCACCTAAACAAAATAAACTATTAATTCTACAATTACATGATTTGACCAGACGACCACGTGTAAGATTTGGTGCGACTTTTCTATATTGAAATTATATTAGGAGAATTTTTTTTGGTTCCACATAAAATAAAATTAAATAAAGGCAACGACCAGCGCCAACAAAAAAAAAAAAAAAAAAAAAAAAATATATATATATATATATAAGAAATTGTTATTAACATTTTAAAAATCTCATTCTACACTTCAAATTTTCTATATTAGAAAAGAAAAATACACTTGTGAGGAGTGTAAAATGAGATTTTAGAATTGTCAATAATGTGGAGAAAAAAATAATCATAAGGCGATGCGTGAATTTTTGGGTTAAGAAGACAAAAATACCCTTGAGGAACAACGGGATTCCTACGCTCGAGTAGCGGACGGACATCTTTCAACCAAGTCAAAAATGCTCCAAAAAAAGTAACAATTCAAAATTCATCTCATCAAATCCCTTTTACAAGGTAAATCCCAATACCTAATTTATTCCATATATTTTCTATTTCATTATTTAGCTAATCAATTAGCTAAATAATATATTTCTTTCATATTTCCTAAAATCTTCCTTTAAAATCATAATAATTGATTGATTAAGGGATTAATTACCTAATCAATCCCTTAATTGTCAATTAAAACACCAATTCAACCCCAAAAACAAGTTAAAGGCCCGGCTATCCCTATTCAAAAAGGAGTCCACCATACTTTCTACCCTTTTTTTTATCATTTCTCCCTTTTAATTACACTAATTAGCTAGCCAATTAATTCCATAACCACCAACACATTCCATTTATGTTTAATTAGCCAATTAATCATAATAAATTGGCTAATTAAACCCAAAACCCTACCTAATGGCCGGCCACTCCTTCTCCAAAGAGGACCGGCCTATCCCTATAAATAGTCTCACATTTTCACCAAAAGATCATTCCAATACACTTGCAAAGTTCCCAATACTCTCTAAACATTTTTCTCTCTAAATTCTAACTTTGGCATCGAAGGTTCTTCAGCCAAAGCCCTCCCCATTCATCGTGGGTGCGTGAGACTCTTGGCATTGACGTTAATTATTTTGTAGGTGCAATTTTTTTTAAGATTAAGGAGGAAGAAATTTACATTCACAAATAACTTTTCTTTATATATATATATATATATTAAACGACCACGCGGATTACGTGATAATATGATCAGCGTGGAAAAACCAAACCTCAAAAACTTCCAGTAATCAATGGGTCCTGCCGAAGAAGAATTTTTTTTGTGCGATGGAAATACAATTCGGAATATAAATATTATATACAAGTAGTCGGCTAAAATTCTGGAAAGAGATCTTCTTCAATCCCTTTCTATCAAATTCATCAAGTTCGGAGTTCGGACAGTTAAAATTTGATATAACGATTACAGTTATTATAATTTTTAAAAGAACTCTGTTTGTAACTGTTGAATCAAATTTCAACGATTTTAATCCTAAACTTAATGGATTTAATAGAAAGAAATTCTCTCCAGATCTCTTTCCTAAAATTCTAATGACACTTGTTATATAGACTGTCGTGTTTTTGACATATTAAAAAATTGCTCGGCCGGAGATGGTTCTGTTGAGAGTAGCGGTTGCTTGCGCGCGTGAGCACTTTTTTGATAAAATTAATTTATATTTTTTTGGAAAATTTTCTGATCCCGAATTTGACCAGTCATATAAAGTAAAATACTTTTTTTCTGAATTTTTTCAGAGAAAATTGAGAGCGAATGCTAGCTGAGGAAGGAGAGTAGGGAGGAGCACTCGAATCCGCCGTCGCCGTCCGCCTCTCTCTCCACTTTCTCCGGAAACCATGACTAGCTCCTCCGCCACTTCACGCAAGGTTTACTTCTCTCTCTCTACAACTTAAATATTTATTTATTTATTTATTTTTAATGGAGTGTTTTGGGTGCGTAGGCTTTAAGCAAGATCGCCTGCAATCGGCTGCAGAAAGAGCTGGTGGAGTGGCAGGTGAATCCTCCGGCAGGTTTTAGTCACAAAGTCACTGATAATCTTCAGAGGTTCCATTTCCAATTTCTTTAAATTTAAAGTGTTAATCTCCTTTGTTTTGCGATTAATCATGTGATTAGTGTTAATTTCCTTGAAATTTTGTGTTAAGATGGATAATCGAAGTCACCGGAGCGCCGGGAACTCTGTACGCTAACGAATTGTATCAGCTCCAAGTTGATTTCCCCGAGCATTACCCCATGGAGGCACCACAGGTCCATAAGATTAAGACTTTAATGTTTGCTTTTCTCTTAATGCTGTTTGGCTGCCGAGAAAATTGTTTCGAAACCGAAGATTGACTATTAGGTTTAAGCTGTTTAAGTACTTATACATACCGTTTGGTGGTTGTATAGTTGCAGTTGTTAGGGTTTCAAAAAATTGGCGAATACAGAACGATTAGTAACTTAGTAGCCCATAATGTTCGATTTATATTTAAACTTTTCGCTTAAATGACTGGTTTGTAGTTTCTATATTGTTTGTTTCGGTGTTCAGGTGATTTTTGTCTCTCCGGCTCCTCTGCATCCCCACATTTATAGCAATGGCCATATTTGTTTAGGTACCGTTCTTGTCTTTTAACTTTGTTTTAGTATTTTCTGCTATCTTTAGTTTTCAGTATTGGGCCGGTATGGAACTAAAGTCTTGGCATGAATTCCTACTTTGTTCTTATGGAAGTAGACAATTAGATGGTTGTTATATTATTCGAGTCATTGCTTTGACCTATGCGATCGTTAGTTTCATTCTATCAAAATGATGACTAGTTGTTAAGTTGGTCAAATGTTACATCGCAATGTTTGCTTGCAAGTTAGGCAAGTTTATAATAAGTTTAATTGAATTCTATTGAATTTTCAGACCATTAGAATTTGGCCTTGCGTTGGAGAATATCCTTCTCTATGCAACTATGCTTGAGGCAAACGTTACCTAACGTTTTGATCATAGTACTAGCTCTTTGGAATGTTTCGTTTTGTGTTCTGTCATAGAAATCTAATGTCTCATGTCAAGCAATTTTTTCATTAGCATAAACTGTTGGAGAGTACAATCAATACCGGTCACCATAACCCGAAAAAATAGATCTGGACTTGAGTTAAAGGATGTTGGTAATATGTTTTGTTGCTCCACACCCACAAGCCTCCGGTGCTTACTGTAGTGAGTACACATGAACTCGGTACATGCCTGGTTGGAGGCTGTGATATTCTGAATTGGCTTTATATGAAGATTGACACGAAAATCCGGCATATAACTTTTATTATTAAATCACATCAAGTATTATAGCCCTACAGTGAATTTATAAAGAAAGGACCCGAAATAGGGTGGCTTTTAGTTGAAGCTCAAATTTAAGTTTCAACTCCTATTCTGGTTGACTGTAAGCGACAATAATGAGTCCAGAGGCATGGCCGCGTGAGGTACTGCGAAGCTCACGGTTGAAGTTGTGAGGCTTTGGTCACCGGATAGAATCTTCTAGGTGCTGGGAGTCATTTGGCATCCCTTATGTTTGCATCTATACTTGTTATTGCTGTTTTGAGCCTTTAAAGCTTTCGTTTTTGAAGCACTAGATATCTTATTTTTGTTGCCGGAAATGATAAGATAACAAAAAAGGCGAAACTTTCATCTTTTTATCCTTGATTCCCTGTGAAATGCGCTGCTAAGGTGATCACAGTTTGATCAGTTCGATCGATTCCAGACGTTATTTTGAATTATTGTTGATGAAATACAAAACTGTGACGTACCTGATGGTTCTGATTATTAGGATGAAATGAGCACCAGCTAACTCATTTTTCGGTAACGGATTATGTTTTTCTTTGCAGACATTCTATATGATTCATGGTCCCCAGCCATGACGGTTAGTTCAATCTGTATCAGCATTCTGTCCATGTTATCGAGTTCCACGGAGAAGGTATGGTGGTTGAATTCATAGATTTTGATGATTTTACTTCACCCTACATTACTTCGGTAAAGCAAACTCACAACCGTGATTCGTGCAATTTACCATTGTGCAGCAACGCCCCGCGGATAACGATCGATACGTGAAGAAATGCAGGAACGGCAGATCTCCCAAGGAGACGAGATGGTGGTTCCATGATGACAAAGTGTAATATAATGACCTAACAAATGTTTGTTAACTACTTGTAAAAAAAAGGGGGTTTTGATTTGGATACTGTTTAAACAATGTTATTATTGAAGGGGAGAGAGGGAGGGAAGGGAGGAGGCTGCCGGCTGGCAGGGGACATGTTCCCCAACTCCTTAACATATTTGCTTGCCATTGCTTAGAATACGTGATGGTGCTGTCTGCACACTATTTTTTACCTTTTGCATACATTTTCAAATTTCGGCAGTCAGAAGAGAATCAAATGATAAAAATTAACTGTGTGTACGTATATCCATTGAGGTGGAATATGATTAAGTTTGCCTAGCTGCAACTATGAATACTGTCATACAAATAGTGAGCTCCGTTTGGTTGATCGATGAGACTTGTGTGTCGTTTTGGTCCTCATAAGATTACAAAATGATGTTTGATAATCATTTTGTTTTCAGTTTTCAAAACAAAAAGAAAAAAGAAATATTGAAAACGAAATAGTTATCAAACGGCCCTTAAGTTTTTATGTTAGATGGTTTCAGAAGGGCTTTTGACCATCTAAAAAAGTCTCAATTATGTTCTCAGTCTTGAGTTAACTGTTTTTTAATACACCTGGTAGTGGGGTGGCGGCAATCACATTGAGTTAACTATTTTTTGATACAAGGTGGTGGTATTTCACTACTCTTGATCAATTGAGCTATAAATTCCTTAAAACTTGAAAACCTTTTGCATCGACCTTAATTAAGTAGATTAGTGTCGAATATCGTTTGTTATTCTCTTATTCGTTCTTTAAAGTAGCGACTTTGTTAACTTATCGTTTCTAAAATAACCGTTTTGGGTAGCTTCAATTGTGTTTTCCCTCCATTAAGACCAAACCTAACCCTGGGCTAAATACTATTTTTTATGTTTTATTCAGCCCCCAAGTCCAAACCCAACCCATGCTAAATGTGTGGGCTAAAAGCTAAAAGTCAAACAAAAGCCAAATTCCTCTCATGATTTAGCCCAGAAAATGGTGTGGGCACCATCAGCTGCTGGACCCCACCCACATAGGCATATCTTCTAGGATTTATTGAATCCAACGACTTAGATCGAATATAATAAAATTTAACTGTAGCAAAAAGATCTAACGGCCCAAATTTAATGATTTTTCAATATTTATCGAAATTTAAATATTTTTAAGTTTATTTATAAAATTAAATTATGATAGTGTACATAACTTGAAAAAAAAAAAATACTTTAAACGAAAAAATGTGCCTAAATTTAATCTCGGACTAAAAAATTTAAGCGATAAAGGTTGCAGTAGAAAACTGTTTCTAGGTAAAAACAAAATTTTCTGAACTAAAAAGCCAATGGTTGGAGATGGTATAAGAAAAACGAGAGCGAGAGGTTTAGTTCGGGGAACAAATGCTATCGCGACGACTTCCTTTCACGGCTGTTTCCTTCCCATGGCGGCGCCCCGGACTCTCAAACTTCCTCCCTACCCAGACGGCTCCGACGACGCAGCAGTCTCTCCAGTCCCTCTCCGTTTGCCGTAATAAAGTTAGCATAACCGCCTTCTGTTCTTCCAGCCCTCAAATCTCCGCCGAACTCACCGACTCAATCCCCCAACCGCCGTCGAAACAAGTAACCGTCCTTCCCCTTCAATTTAATTTTCAATTTCTTGGCTTTTTCAAAATTCAATCAGTAATTTTTCCTTTTTGGTTGATGAAAATGCATGATTTTGCTTCTTTTCCGTAAAGTTTGTGTTTTTTGAATGCTTTTTCGGTTGCAGGGTCCTCTTGAACCCGGTCTGTATCTCGTCGGAACTCCGATTGGAAACCTCGAAGATATCACCGCTCGCTTAATTTCTACATACAAAGTTACAAACCATGTTTTTCTTTTCTCTTCACTTTTTCATTTGATATCGAATCCAATGCAGGGCTCTCCGGGTGTTAAAATCAGCTCATGTAGTACTTTCCGAAGACACTCGGCATTCGGGGAAGCTGCTCCACCATTACAGTATCAAAACTCCCCTTGTAAGTGAATTGGGAGTTTTTGGGGGTAATTTTGGTTGGCTTTTAGATTTAGTGGTTTTAATTTATGCTTTTAGATTACAGCTGAGCTATCACAAATTCAATGAAGCTCAAAGGGGACAAACAGTGTTGAAACGGTTAAAGGAAAGCGAAGTTGTGGCGCTCATAAGCGATGCTGGGATGCCGGGCATCAGTGATCCTGGTACGGAATTGGTGAGGTGCTTCCCCATCTTCTTTAATTTTCTTTACCTTTACAGCAAGTAATTCATCATGTATCAGCTTGAATTGATTTTGTCAATTGTTCTAGTCATTCGGGACAATATGAATTTGGAGTAATGTAGTGTATATTATTGCGGATATGGTATTTAGATATATATGTATCATGTAGCAGTGCAATTGATAACAAGTTTTGCTGCAGGCAAAGCTGTGCATGGATGAAAACATCCCTGTTATTCCTATACCTGGGCCGTCTGCTTTTGTGGCTGCTCCCTCTGCATCTGGCCTGTCCACGGATGAGTTTACATTTGGTAAGTTTTCCATGGAAATGATGCTGCAGATGTTCTTGGTGGATGTGGCTTGAGGGACAAGATGTATATAGGACTCTGAACTGATTATACTTCTGCAGTAGGATTTATTTCTAAACATGCTGGACCCAAATATTCTATGTGCCTCCCCACAAACTTCAGCAGTTTCTTGAAGAGACTTCTTCAGTTTTTGGTGTTTCAAGGTACATACTTTTAAGGCTTCAGATTAAAAATCAATTTTAATAAAGTTATTAAGAAAAAATACCAACTTCAATAAAAGCTACCAATCCCTTCCCATTCTATTTGGAATAAGCCACAAATTGTGGGAAAATAGCCGAAAATTTTCAATTATGTGCAACTTTTTCATTTTCAATTATGTATTGATGTTTGAGTTTATTGTTTTTTTTTTTTTTTTTTTTTTTTTGCTTGTTTTTTTACATGTATCACATACTTTCATCCCTCACTAACTCTTTGATATGATTATTTATTAGTTTTTGTTATGGTGAGTTACAAATTGAACTTCCATGATTTATGCGCTTTTACTGCCTTAGTGGTTTTACGAAAAACTGATTTGGTGAGTTTGTAATTGTGTTTCAGAAAATGCGTCATAGCTCGTGAAGTTACAAAAATTCATGAAGAGGTAGGTTTATGGTGATGTCTTTTATTTATATCTGTTTTACTTGTGATCAGCTTGCTGAATATGTGCACATTATTTTCCTTACTTCATTTGTGATGAATCGCATGCCATTAACCATTTTAAAATCCCATTACATAATTTATCAAGAAACGAAAAGTGATCTACTTTTTATGAGTAGTATTTGATTCTTTCTGATGATATAACTTAAAATTTTTGCATCGATCTAAGACTAGTAACTGATAATATGGGCGATGTCTCTGTGTACAAGAATGCATGCCCAGCCAATGCTAGTAGAAATTTGTCGCTCAAGAGTGTCTTTAGGCTTAAATTCAGACTCTGCACATTTGGCTTTCTTTATTTCTCTGCATGGATGTGCACAGCTTTCCTTGGTGTTTTGGGCTGCAGCATGCACAAATTTCTTTTGGGCTGTGCGATGCAGGCACAAGCCGATCTCACTTAACAAATGTTTTGGCAATGTGATTTGAACCTCTTGGAACCCAGACCCCGTTAGGGAATAACTGAATAGGTCAGGTGGACACCTTGTATCAATGTCCTTAATTTGATATGTGTATATCATTTTGCCTTGTCTTCCTTTTAAGTTCAAATTCAGTGATAAAGTTGCTATTTTTGTTTTTAATTTTCCAAATGCTAGCATGTTCTTTCACAAATGATGGCTACTCTGTTGATTTCATCTTGCGAATGTGTGTCTAATTTTGATGCCTTGTCAGTTTTGGCGCGGTACATTGGGGGAAGCTGCAGAAGCGTATTCTACTCACCAGCCAAAAGGTGAAATTACAGTATTAATTGAAGGAAAAGAAAATTCTCCGGTTGTAGCTCCTTCAGAGTCCCAGCTTGAGGATGAGTTAAGAGATTTGATCTCAAGTGGGCATAGTCTTTCTACGGTAATGACTCCTGTTTCTGGATATTAGTCTTTTTCACAGAACTGTGTACACCTTTTCCAAGTTTTGAAAGATCACGAAGAATTATTTTTTCTTCCGTTTGTTGATCATGAACTGTTGAGGGGTTTGACAACTCTTATGTACGTATATAGGCTGTCAAATTAGCGGCCGACGGGACATCAGTTCGGAGGAAAACAATATATTCAATCGCATTGAAAAAATTCGGGAAGCAACCCGGTTCACAGAGTGATGCAGATCCATGCAAGCCACAGCTAGAGGAGTGAAACCTTACATGTTAATGGCAGACCGCCGGACCACGTATTTTACGAGTAGATTTCGCTTAATGTGTACTGTGCATTCACATTTCTGTACTTCATATGTTCTTCTACTTCTACATGGAGACCACTCTAAGAAGGGTATAGCTATAATTTTACAAACCATGAAGGATGATGGAGTCATGGAACAGGAACCAGCTTGTGTTGGAAGTGGTTGAGGACAAAGACGTCCGAGTCCTTGAACAAAACCAGACAGGGCTGTCGGGATCACGGGCGCTGCATGCAACACATGACATATGCAGATTGGGGTCCTGGACCCTGCCCGGGCCCACTATTCGCTTCTCACCATCGATGAACAACCGTAGAAGACGAGAAATTCTTGAGTACGGATGGTCATGCCACCTCACCTCTACGACCAAAGACACAAAAACATTTCATCCAGTCCCACCACTGTATTCCTGCCCCATCCACCCTCTCTGGTCTCTAGTCCCACACGGCCTCGGCCAGACAATCACGGTGATCCGAGCATCTAAATTGAGCAACTCCAAAAAAGGCCCCCTCATTTTCTTTCTAATAACAAATACCTATTTGATCATAAAAAATAAAAACACCTCCGGTACTATTCACTTTTAACGAAAAATGACATTTTTACCTTTTCTACTATTATTAACTCACACCTTTATTTGTCATTTTTCATTAAAATTAAAGTTTTTGAGAACTTTTTATTAGTTTTTCTTTAAAAAAAATGGTATGCTATCCACACACCTCATTTTACTTCTCACACTCTTTGTTAATTTATGTTTTCAATTCATCCGATTTGACAATCGAAAACTAAAAATATGTGGAAGAAGTAAAAAGAGATGTAGATATCACATCCCAAAAGAAAATTCATCTAAAATATTTACATGCACAAGACTAACCCTAGAAGCTGTGCGTTTCGTTCATCAATAAACTGACAATTTAGCACTACCAACCCCACCACCAGAAGAACCCGATGAAGGGCTAAAAATACGTTGGCCGGTGGCTAAAATGCGCCGGGGGTCGAACTTCATCTTCCTCTGGTAAAACCGGTCCCACTTATCTCCAAAGTGGTCCATCCACTCCTCCCGAGTAGTGTAGTGCGGGAGGTACTGTTTCACCTCGATCCCGGCATCATCGCAGAATCTGAGGATCTGACGGTTCTGATTGGTCAAGTGCTCCAAGGTGCGGGTCTCATCCCCGGTATCCAAGGCCGATCTTAGCAGCGCTACAAGGTAAAAAACGTCCTCATCGGGCGTCACCACCGAGCTACTCTGGTCCCACCTACACAGAATCAAAACCATACAAACGACAATCAGCGAAACATGTTTTTGGAATTAACGGCTGTGTTAATATTTGTGCTGTGATAACTAACGGCAATGTTTCTCGAACTGAGCTTGTACAACGACAATGGACATCCCATCGGTGGATCTACCGACATGAGAATCTTTACGTTTGGAAAAGAATTCTCGTCGGTTTTTTTTTTTTGAAATTGTAGGGATCTCATAATCGTGACTGTTCATTGTTCAGTTAGAAATGATTTCAAAATTTAAAATTTAAAAATAAATATAAATAGTACCTAATAAAAATTGACCGTACAATGTACTATAAACGGTCACGATCACGGGATTCCCAGAATCCCTTTCACCTAATCATCTTCATTAAATAATCCGGACTCTTAACATTTGATACAATAGCTAAAATTATTATAACTTTTAGATTGAGCCCCTGTTTGTAACCGTTGAATCAAATTTTAAAGGTTCGGATTGTTTAATAAGGAGAATTAAGTAGAATGAATCCGGAGAAATCTATTTTCATAAAAACAAAACCAGCACTGTATTTTTTTTGGTCAGAAACCAGCCCTGTGTCTGGTTGTGTGGATCCTGGACTAAGTCCAACTGTAATCTGTAGGTAATTATATGCGTTTTCATGTCCAAAATTGCACTCAACTCAAGCAAAAGCCATGGAGATTAAGTGCTAAATTATTCAAATCTTGTAAGAGAAAATAGTCAGTAGAGCAACCCGATCAGCTAGTTTGTCACGTCACTCTCAAAAAAGTGTGTATTATTGGCAGTAGTACTACTACGAAGATGGTATCCAAATACAGCGGGACATGCATCTTTGAAATAGTGCATGACGATCCAGCCAAATTGCTCTGCCTAAATTTTCAAAAAAACTAATGGAAATGACTTGAAAATTTTGAGTTTTAACGATAAGGACAAAATAAAAAGTAAAATGAATAGTACTATGATTGATTTTATTGTAAAAATATGATTTTTCGTTAAAATAAACAGTATCGAAAACTTTTCGTTAATGTTCCCTAAATTATTCTCCACATATAGATAATGGCATCTCTACCAACCTACCTAATACCCTTTATGATCTGGAGGATTTTATCCTCAAGACTATGGTATCATCTACATAGTCTCCGGTCATTCTTTATCAATTATTGAGGAGGTGCGCAGCTTCTGTCACAAGAGATTCTATTTGCCTTTATAGTATAATTACCAGTGTTTAGAGCTAGGCTCAATAAATGCAACAACCTAGATTCACACTTTAGTATTGTTAATTAGGAAGATTAACAAGGTCTTAAAAGCATCTTCTTTTTTACTTAAACAATAGCATTAGTATATTAAATAGTTAAATATTAAGAGGCAGGAAGATCGATGGAGATCGAATCCACAACAGAATGTTAGCATGTTGCATGAAACAGCTATGTCGTCATATTTAGAGGCATGCATGCATGATGCATGCAGCGGAAAGAACATTATATAGTTATATCAGTAGTGTGTGTGTGTGTGTGTGTGTGTGTGTGTGTGAGTACACATACATGTATGCATCAGAGGCTGTGGAACTTACTTGTCTTTGTTCATGGGGTAAATCAGAATGGGTCCGCTTGTCTTATTTCCCAGAATGCCCTTGAACACCCCTTCGTCGAAGTCAGAAATCCTTGATTTGGGGACAAAAAGGTTAAGCCATGGATGGGGGACGTCCCACAAACCCTTGGATCGGAGCTTCAACTCGGCCTTGTGAACCCGGTCCAGAAAATCCACGTATGGAAGATCAGTCGTGAAGACTGACGTCGGTACAAAATCCAGTTTTTCCAACAAATCCTCTATTTCCTGCAGTAAAAAAAATATTCCCAACGCACAGTTTTTAATTATTTGTTGGTTTTAAATGCACGTATTATTACTAAAAAAAAAATCACAGTCTGCTTAAAAGAAAGCTGCTACCGAACTGTTACTTTTGTCAGGATAAGTTCCATTATTCTGTTTAAATTTCTAATTAACAAGAGGAATATTTGGTGGGTGCGTGGCTTAGATTTAGTAATATACAATTAGTAAAAAATTAGAAAAATAAAGGTGTATTCGATCTTAGGTTTGAATAGGATATTAGATAACAGATCTTCCATGTTTTCTTGCGAATGTCTGGTTATATTTTATAGCAGCTTTAATTATTATGTACACTAAGACACTAATTAATCATCTCAATCATATAATCTAGGGTTTAGTGGAACACCCTTGTAAATTAATCAATCTAGCAAAGCATAACTCTAATTGGTTTTAAATTTTAATACGTACAATATGATAGGGTTGGAATTTGGAAGCTACTGTAAGAAAGCACTTTAAACAACCACATAAACGATTTTAATTAGTCTAAAGTCCGAGTGTGCTAACCAATTATCGCTCTTACTGTTTATTCTAATGTAATATATATTTACTGGAAGTTGGTGTGTTGCTTTAGCATATTACATACTCCAAGCACGGAGAGATCTTTGTGTGCCCGAATCATGGGGCCGAATACCACCCCTTACACAATTGGAGGAAAGTTTTTTTTTTTTTTTTTCATGTGTCCTCTAACAGTATAAGATGTGGTGTTTTGCTCCGTATTCTGGCATACTGAAAAATCTCTTCCATGCACGACACAATGGCCTGACACATTACTTTTATATATTTCATATTTGTTACTCTATATTAATTTTTCTTATCAATGGCAGATGACTCATTACTAACTACTTAGATAATTTGTATTTCACCACTTACGCAACATGAACAAGTATATAAGTAAAACTATTTAATATATATTGAATTTTACTTCTTCAAATTTTCGATATATGACTCTTGTATTTTCAACACTCTTAAGTTACGTATTCTATAGGTTTTTCTTTTCTTTCTTTCTTACCATTTCAAGTAGTTAGGCTTGCATGCCTAAACTTTACGACTATCTTGGACTTACAACTTTTTAATAACCCAGATTAATTAATACATCACCGACCCCCTAATAAAACCATATTAGAGTGTAAATACGAGTATAATTATACCTGGTCAATTGTAACGGCGGTCGATTCGTCGTAGTTTTTCGTAATCTCCAAGCAATATAAAACACCACCCTCAGAATTAATGGAGGTGATCTTGACAGGGTTGCTCGGGGAGAAGAAGGATGACCTCCAGTTGTTGATGAGGCCTTCGTCGACAATAACGAAACCCTCGACATAGTCGAATTTCTGGCTGGTGGGTTGCCCATGCAGAGAGATGAGGAATTCCTGGTCTTTGGTAAAAGCCGAAAAATTGGAATACAGTACTCGGATCCACCTCACCTATTGACAACAACGACAATAATTTTTTATTTTCTTTAATAAAGCAGCAACAAAAAGATATAGGAAAGAGACCACGTTAAAGAAGCAAAAGGACACATCAACAACATTGCCAGCTATAGAACAGCCGTTTGAATGTGGTTAAAAAAGCTTCAATCCATGGACTTAAAACCCTTCATTAGGTCATGCATGATAGATGATACCTTGCTTTTTTAGGTTTTGTCATTAACAAATACAAGGAAAGTTTTGCAAAGTATGTGCCCCCACTCCCACTTTGGAGAGATTTTTTAGTGTACTGAAAACAATCCGGAACCAAGTGTAATCATACAATTAATTGGTTGAAAACCTGAGAATTTTTTTTTTTCAACCAATTGTATATTATGACAGTTGTTGTACCGGGCCGTATTCCCGGCACTGAAAAAGTTCTCCCCACTTTGGAAGGTGGAAACCGACCAAAGCAGTTGAGAATAACGTTATTTGGACACTCAAAACTAACATATTTGAGAATGATTTTAATACAAGTCTTTCCTCCACTCACATTGTGTAAGGTGGAACCGACCAAAACTTTCAAACCCATTAAGCAGAAACGATCAATACTATTTATTAGACACATAAAACAAACATATACTCGCAGAACAGCGTGAAAGGGAGATATATACCCTTTGGGGGGAGAGTTCAAGAGCAATTCTAGCCCTAGTGATGATTCCAAATTGGCCTAGCCCACCAAGAACAGCGTGGAACAGCTCTGAGTTTTGCTCTTCTGAACATGTCAATAGCTCGCCTTTGCCTGTTGTTAAACAAGACATATATTGATCACTTCAATACATCAATTATATATGTACTCGAAGATTTACCATATATTGATCATGCATGATGAGATCATATAAGACAAGCAGTTTCATTGGCAACAACGACAACAACCTAATAATGTGAGAATATTGTTAGATCGTCACTATATCAGACATAACAAAAGAGGCCATGTGAACAGCGTAACATTATATAATAATTTAAGTTTAATAAGCTAAATAAGGAGACTAACTTATAACTAATTAAACTACCTTTCTAGCCATTTCGAGGCTTATATGGGAATTGTTTGTTAGTGCTTTTAAAATGATCAAAACGTTTTTTATTATAATTTTTTTGGGACAATCCTTAGTAAAAATGCAAGTCAATCTTAAAAAAACACGTGAAGTGCTTCATGCAGAAAGCACTTTAAGTGTTTTCGGAACCCAAAAATATTTTCCTCAAAAGCACTTACAGTAATTTTGAAAGTGCTTTTAAACGAACCCATATTAAAACAAACATTTGATGAAATAGTGGTATAATTTCTTTGCTGAAAATAACTAATGAACAAAAGAAAATACCACAATTTCTGCGTGATGCTGATGAAACAATATAAAAACAACCATTTTAAAGAGACATTTATGTGGTCATGTGTACAGTTTAAACCGAAACTGAAAACATCCTTCATGACATAAGAAGACCAGAAGTGTAAAATGGGCAATCTTAGAATTCAATAAAATCTGCAAACACCATTTAGGAGAATGATTAAGAATTATAAATAAATATTGAGCATACCCATATTACTTACAAAAATAATGTTATGCTCAACTGTTGATATAAACAAGTTATCTTAAAACAAGTGATGCTATTTGAATCATATTTATTAAATATATTGTTCGACAATTTCTCTTATACGAGACAGTCGAATTTCGTATGTATGGATAGAATCCACTTTAGAGTCCTAAATGTGGTAGAAATAACTTTATTCTACTAATAAACCTTTGCATATTCAATTGGATATTGGTAAGAAGGAAAATTAAACACACCATGATAAATAAAATACCAGAAATGAGTGATAGATATATAATCCAAACCTGTAACAACGTCGAGCTCATGAACATTACTAATCTGAGGTCCGTAATTGAAAGCTTGGCCACTGATTCCGGCGTTGGAAAGGGTTCCGCCGACTGATAAGTACAGATAATCAGTCCACGACTTCGGTGCGAGTCCATACTCAAGCGTGCTCCTGAGCACATCTATCCACAACTCCCCACCCCACGCATCCACATACATACCCTTCTCCGACACTCGAGCCGCCTGACCCGGCGTCCCCGATCTTGACGATCCCCCGCTCATCTGAATCACGACACCGTTGTTGGTCTGCGCCTGCCCGTTGATGGAGTGCCCGTGGCCTCTGGCCGAGACCGTGAACCCGTGCGGTGAAGAGTATGCGGTCCGCACCAGTCCCACCACGTCTTGGGCGGAGGCTGGGTGTAAAACTGCCAAGGGCTCCGCTCTGCTCATCAGGCCGAAATCTTTCGAAGCGGTATTTACGTCGGACGGGTCTAAGCTCAGCTGTCCTTCGACGACGAGGCGGAGAAGCTCCGTTGGGTCCACGGTTAAACCAACCGTGACAATAAGTCGACAGATTGCGAATGTTAATAAAACAAGCTTGGTAGTGGCCATGTATTCGAGTACGTTACTATTCTTGTTCTTGATCTTGATTTTCTTTGTTTGGTTTAAAATGATGAATTAGGTATAGGGCTACATAATGGAGTAGGAGGCGGCGGCTAGAAGGATGAAGGATTAGAAAACTGAGGACAACGGCGGAGAGAAGTAGGTGGCGGTGGTGGCAGCTAGGTTTACGTACTCTAGCTATATATATAGTGAGGGACAGAGTGAGAGGAAATAATTAACGAAAATTGTGAGAAATTATTAAGCAAAAAATGAGAAGGAACAAAATCTTTGTCGCAGAGGGAAGGAGGGGGATGTGGGAAGTCGTGGAGATAACGTAAGGCTGATTTCGCTTTAAAGATTTTGTACGCAACATGAACAGATTCGCTCAGCTTCTCTTTCTTTCGTTCTTTTCCAGAACTCGATTTCTTCACGTTACAAGACTGCAAGTACACTCACATACATATATACTGCATAATATTTTAGCAGATAACTGCAGGTAATATATGTATGTTAATATTTCTTCTCTCACCCTACAATTTTCCGAGGCAACAAACAACAAATTATACAGAGTTTCTGACTGTATCTCTCTCTTTTGTGTCTAGGTTATAACATGCAGGTCCTCTATTTAAAGGACAAAGGGACGGGGCGTGGGGTCCGAGGACACGTGTCTGTTCACGTGAGAGAGTTCAGAGACACGTATACGTAATAATTTTTTTTGTTTGGTAAAAAAGTATAAGTTAACCCTAGCCAGGATTTTCTCTCACGACCCATTACCATATTACCCAATGCACTGCCCAGAGATCCTGCTCTGAGGGGGAAGAAAGGAAGGGAACGGAAGGGAAGGGAAGGGATGGTGGGGGCCCACATGTGGATACGGAGGATCTGTGTGGGGACACGAGGGAGGGAACCTTCACATGGGTGCCGCACCACTGCGACGATGTTCGATTCAGCTTAATGCAGCTACCAATAAAGATTTGAAGATTCTCTCTCCCTTCCCTTTCTTTTTAGCTGCTAGGGTTTCTTTAGGCTTTAGTGAAAGCCTCCCTCCCTCCCTCTCAATCCATATCAAACACTACACAACACAACCAGATGTTTAATCAATTAAATCAATTCTAAGAAAATCGCAGAATCTAAAGCTTAGATTGCAAATGACTAATTATGGACTTAATTATGGTTTTTCATGCTTTCCAAACTAAAAACATTCATAAAACAACAAGTGGGCGTTTGGAAATTAGTCAGTCTTCTAGGTTAATTTTTAAGTGAGACATAGATCGATGTCAATTTCCCAAGTGGGAATTGTTGGCACCCACTTCTAGATTTTTCTTAGATTGGTATCAAGTCTTCGCAAATAATTAGTTGGTTATAAATATAAGAATTTAATGGATGTGGCCCTTAGATTAGTCAAGTCTTTGCAGTTTAGGAACACCTAGCTTCTTGGATAAGAATACGATTCTCATACCAAGATTGTAGTTTCTATTTTTCTTTTATTTTTTATACCAAATGATATTCAATACTAAGTTTTATTTAAACTATGTGAAGGAAGATTCAACTTTGAAAGTAGTGGAGAGTGCATACTGTTTAAGCGAATTGGTTGAAACCCAAATCTGAAAAAAAAATATATATATATTCAAGTATTCAAGTATTCAAGTTACGCTATTAACAACCAGAAAACCTCCATAGAGAACAAAGAAAGGAAATAGTTACGGTGTAAAACCATTGTCTGGTTAAAGAAGTCACTGTTTAGGAGGGCTTTCTGCAAATTGACAACTCTTCCACCTTTGTCTAGGAATGAAAATGATTATCCAATCAGTGAGTGCATATTTTGAGCTTTGATACATATACACACTTGTTGGACCACGTAATAATAGCTTGTCTAATTCACTTGTCTTTCACTACAGACGTGATGAATGGGAATTCGCCAGTAAGGAATAATTAGGATTCATAATAATTAAACTAGGCCAATGGTGAAAATATAAGTTAACCCGAGCACACGGAAATATGGTGTTGGAAATATGTTTGGGTCAAGGTCTTTTTTTAATATGTTTACTCAACAAAAATGGACAAATGAATCGGAAAGCTTAAAAATAGAAGAAATAAGGAGTGTGCATCGAAACAACTAATCACCTCTAGTCGATTTGATTTTTTATTTTTTGGTATTTTATTACAGATTTTAGGGAGAAATTTTCACTTTTCTAATTTCTTATTTGTAAGTAAACGCAGAAAAAATTAAGGGGTGGAATGATTCCCTTATCCATAATTTAGTAACATTGGAAAATCAAGAATCAAAATTATTTTAATTCCTATTTCTGATAAGTAAACACCCTCATTTTCTACCTTAATACCTTTCTCTATTTCTAAATTTCTAAATTTTGAATTAAATAATAAAGAAAAAAATAGTGCGTAGAAATTTTCTATTGTATGAGTCAGAAAAATAATAAGTAGAAAATTAAATGGTACAACTTTGAGTTCAACTTTATAATTTCAACGTTCAAATTATACTAATACCTTATTTTTCAATAAAATACCATATACGGACCCTGAATAAAAATATATAAATCAACATGGATATCGTAGAAATCATTTTTCTGTGTGAGTCAAAAAATTGGGGTTTTGTTGAGAATGACATTGACAATATAAAATCAAGTGGTGCCTATAATCTCATTTTCGTCCACTAAACAAGCCCACATGAAATGGGGACGCATGTATTCATTTTCTTTCTTGGTGTGAATAGTTGGACCCAGCTACCTTACTTGCTTTTATCATCTTCGTAGTATAGTTACGTACTTATTTTTACTTCTCATGTACTTTTACTAATTTTTATCATTAAATTTTTTTAAATTTATTTACTCTAACAACAAAAAGTTGAACAATATATAAAAAAATAAAAATAAAAATGTGTATGACACTGTCGTATTTTTATACAAATTAAAGAACCTGTAAATGAAATTTGACCTATATTTGAAGTTGATGGCCATTTGTCAGATCAATGTTGTAAACGAGGAAAATACTTCCAAATTATTCCCATTGTTAAATCCAAATCAACAGTTTCCCTTTTCTGTTCACAAGATTGAGTCTTGACAAGAAGTCTTGTCTCTGTCGGGTAGCCAAATCCAACCGGATTAGATATGAGAAGCTTTGGTTGTACAATTATCATTAAATAATTTGGCTTAATGAATTAATCCACGTTTAATCTGTCGACAAGAAGAGGTGTGTTAACAGTGCCAAATGTCCTTCAGACTTGGGATTGCAACACGAGTCCTGTCCAGGGACCAAGTGTACTAACAATTTTAATGGCCAATTGTTTTAGTCAGCAACCAATTTGGACTGTACGTAGATATATATGCATGCGTAGGACCCCATTAATTTATAAATAATGAGAGTTAACTATGACCAATTATCTTAAGTGAGCTTTAAAAAAAAATTATAATACTGTTTACTTTAATGAAAAATCATATTTTTACATTAAAAAGTCAATCCGGGTATTATTCAATTTACCATTTATTTTGTCCTTATTGTTAAGACTCAAAGTTTTCAATTTTTTTTCATTAGTTTTCCTTTATCTTAACATTAGAAATAAAACTAAATTTATAAATATAATCGCCAATATTTTATAAGGAATATAAATTATCAAGAAACCGGAAACTACATAACAAAAACAAAACAATCATGCAACTCGAGCAAATTGACAATCATCTTCTCATTTTCTTCTAATCTAAACTATGGACATTCATCCTTAATCTTCTAATATCTTAACTTATCTAAGCCTCAATGATATGTATCAAATACTATAAATTCAACTGCTCGAATTGTGATTCTATTAGCATGCTGAAAAAAAAAAAGCAAAATATATATGAACTTATACTCTTTTCTTAAACATTATTGTGTAAAAAATCCACTTTATTTTTTACGTAACACTTAATCCCACTTTACCATTTTGGTCATTCCTCTCCTCACTCCTTCAATATAATCAATTGGGATTAAACTATAAGAACGATTAGGGCAGTTTTAAGCACCAACTAAAGTGACAATGATAAAATTAATAATATTAATCGATAGGAGTTCGTTTGAAAGCTGTAATTGCTCTTTTCAACAAAAGTTTGGCAAATAAGTGAAAGTGGGGGCTCTCTATTTCTTTTCTTCTTCTATCTTTTGTGCGTCTAAAAAGGGAGAAAGCCAGTTTGTCTATTTGCTTTATGATTCGTTCATGCTGTCTTTGCTTTTGAGTTTAAACTCGTCTTTAATTTACAACAAAAAGTTTTTTTTTTCTCCCTCAAAGGGCAGAGCAATGAGGCAACAAAGGTCCTACACAAGGGTCACTTTACAGGCAAAGCTGCTCAAGAAAGCAAACACAATTGCTTTTGTGTTAGTTTATAACATAGCAGCCACTTTTCCTTCCTGACACCAATTGTTCCCTAGATTAGATTCTTAAACTTTTTTCTTCAAAAAATTATAATTAAAGGTAGCTAAATCACAGATTTTATCGCGTATTAAACCCTAATTGCAATTAAACCGTGATTAGACTGTAAGGATGCATGTCAGAAGTGAGAAAAAATTTGCTTTCCTCGGGTCTTGATGATTTTAATTACATGATGAACAGCTCATTCAGTCCCTATTGTTTTCATTATCATTATTGGCCCCATTTTTCTTTACCATATTATAAAGGGAACTTTAATGAAAAATCTCTAGTACTGTTTACTTTAATGAAAAATCTCTAGTACTGTTTACTTTAATGAAAAATCACATTTTTACATTAAAAAGTCAATCTTAGTACTATTCACTTTACCCTTTATTTTGTCCTTATCATTAAAACTCAAAATTTTCAAATTATTTTCATTAGTTTTTCTTATTATAAACAGGAGCAAGCTGCCAAGCACCATGCAGTGCATGCAAGCTAGCTTAATTAGTAATTTTTTAAACCATATAGTATTATATTAAATTAAATATTTGTAATTTCTTCTTGAATCACGCGGGCAAAGGTTTAAATCTTTTCCAGGGGAATCCCCTTGCACTGTACATGGAGCGGAATAGATAATATCATTGTATTGACTACTTCATGATGGGGTATTCAACATAAATTAGAGAGTATATCCAACATCGAGAAGAAAAAAAAGAGAAGTTGCAAGTACTTATAAAAAGTTGAACTACTTCATGTAGTGTCAATTAGTTTTATAGTTGATTCAGTATTGAGACGTATCTATCAATATGTAGAGAGACAATTCTAGTTCACAAGATATACGAAAGACAATTAATGTATAGTACAAAGTACGTACGTAGGAGCTGGCCAAGGCCCAAAGCTAACCTAATTTTGTAACCATTCATTTCGTTTCATTGCATGCAAATACTGTACTCAATAAATTGCACATGCATTCTGCGACAGTTTTACTATTCACGGTCGAGCTACCAAGGTTTTCTTGTTTTGCTTGCACATGCATTCTGCGATAGTTTAACTATTCGCGGCTGAGCTACAAATTAAGGTGGTCATGCTGTGGCCCTTTAATTTTTTGTTCAACAGATTTATGCTACTCTTGCAGGCTGTATGCTTATCGAAGAACTTTGATAGAGCTGACACGTGGTCAGCTACATTATATAATTTCACTAAGAAGTTAACACGTAAACACAAGTGCGGTATAGAAAACCATGATGCAGGGGGTCTCCGAGAGAGTGGAGAAAAGGAAATGACTCATTTTCCCGGAAGAGGATCCTCTTTGGATCCACTTTATGGGGATCTTAAGAATTTTCACTTTCTAACAGTTTATTGTACATTATACGATCCATTTTCATTATGTACTATTTGTATTTAATTTTAAATAAAAAAAAGTTAAATAATTTGTGATCACACGATGATCGATAAATAATTAAAATATAAAGATCCTTATAATTTTCACAATTTGAATCCGGATGAAATTCATATCCCATTTTCCCTACCAAAATTACACGACGTACGCGAATTAGTACCTGGATTGAACACTTGTGATAACATAATAATTAACATTTCACATCAGTGATGACTGATGAGGGCGCAAAATGTAAACAGATAGTAACAAGCATTATTAAGGCGTCCATCACGGCTGATTGCTTCTTACGTGTGTCTCCTTTGTGTAATACAAATTATACAAAACTAGCAAGATAGCTAGCTAGCAATAGGGAGCTTAAAGTCGCATATCGAACAGTGAGATATGGATAAGCATTGGCATTATGCATAATGCCTATGCTATATTTATATAGAGACAGAGAGAGGCAGAGAGAGAGACAGAGCAATTAGATGCAACTACCCGAAACACATTAATAGAAATGAAGTAAACGGTTTTCGAATCAATGCATGCTTGGCATCAAACAGCACAAATAATACCCCAATAATTTACACATGAAATGAAATGAAAGTGCTTGTAACTCAATGCATATGAAATAGGTGAAAAATATTAGAAAGTGTGATGCTATTTGCAGTGAAGGAGCTAAAATTTTATAACAATGAGGTTATAAGCTAAAAAAAATTCATTAGATCATTTCGTCGAGCTCTTAGTGGGTATCTGACGAGTTATGGCATATTTTATTGATTTCTACCAAGGCATGTAGAGTGAAGCATTTAATCAAACACTTGTTGCGAACATAGGGTCGCACACAAGAAATACTAGTAGAAAGACAAAACAAAGAAATAAGAAAAACTACAAATAACTATGCATAGAGTTACACAACAGAAGTAGCAGGTCGTAATTTAGTGTTTTTGACTTATTTTTTTTAGTCCGCAGTTGTGTATATTAGTCACGAACAAATATTATACAAATATTCCTTGGGGGCTACGAAGCAAGTGGGGTCATGAGTAGTCAATGACCCTAGTTGGCTTCGCCATTGGCTATTTGAACATGCGAAGTTGATGCTTAATGACATAATCTATAATATAGCCAAAACTCATATATAATAAAAGAGTGTACTTGTATTAAAAGATTTTATGTCAGTTTTATGTGTTCAAACAATTTCATTGAACGGGAAAGAAATAAGGTATGCATACATGAACTTCCTTATGAGAGAAACCAACAAGACCAAAATATAAACGCATTATGCAAGGGCCTTGCCTTTTATGTATATATAACATGCATATGGATGAAATTTCAAATTATCGCGCGACTATATATTATAGGCTGTAGCCTATACATATACAATTAGTGATTCTAAATTTTTACAAGAAGACATACAGCTAATTGGCGCGCACACACTAGCACAAGCACTCCCGTAACAAATCAGAAACAAAGATGGCAAACTCAGCAGATTTATACGGAAGCACAAGTAATGTCACCGCCACACAAGCAAGACTACATCAAACAATCGCTAGCAAGCGAGGCCACATTAAAACCACAACACATACGCGAAGCCACATCACTCACTAGGCAAGACGTTATCCCCTAGATACGGTACAAACCAATTAAAATGGGGCTATTTATTTGTCGGTGGAAGAAGATGCAGCCTGTTAATTTGCAGCATTGTTCATTCATCATCTCTGTGTGAGCCTGCGACCTTCAGCAATCCTGAAAGGTTGTATGTATAATTTTCTTTTCGTGGTCATGAACATTAATAATTAAGAAAATTACATAAAAATTTTAAGTTTTAAAGATAAAGACAAAATAAAGGGTAAAGTAAATAATACTAAGATTAAATTTTTAATGTAAAAATATAATTTTTGTTAAAATAAACAGTACCAAGAACTTTTCTTTAAAGTTTTTTAATAATTAATTACTACGTCGACATAGCATTTTGCATCAACGTGCATAACTGCATTGCCCCATGCAAAAAGCTAAGCTGCAGGGATAAACTCTAGCACAGAATCTTGGTGTCCATCGTTCGTGGGTTATATATGTAGCAGATTGCCAGATCCAATTTAATTATTAGTTTGCCATCTGACATCATTTGTTCTGGAATTTCCCACAACAAGTGGCATATCAATTATCCATACGGCACAACATATATAGGTCATAGGTCCCATGCATCTCCAATTCTCCATCTTGTTTGGCATCATCTTATATGTTTCTTTATATTTATTGGCATTTTTTTTATACTAATCATGCCATATAATCTGATACCTAACCCTAATTATTCACTTAGGTCTACCAAATTAAGTGACACTTCATTTTCATGTCAGCTATAAGCTGTTATTGATCAGCTCATGCACACAACCGCATTTTACATGTATCTTTCACATGTAGCTCACTCTTAGATTCTAGGGGGGTCTCTCACAATTAGAATTAGTCGGTCAACTGGAATGTGTATGATCTAGGAGATCTTTGAATTGAGAAGATCTGTTGACCTGAGACGAAGGGAAAGAGTTGGAAGTGAAATACAAATAATGTTATTTAGAAACACGAATTGTCATAATCGCTGTAGCATACATTTTTAGTTAGATGAACATTATCATTTTATGTGAGATCTACCTGTATTAGGGAGTATATCAATTTTCCGTGTCTAAATAATTAACATTACTCTAATTATATTAATAATTATTTTTTTGGTGCTATAGTCCGGGAAGCTAATTTAAAAGGGGTGTTTATTATTTAAGGCAGTTGAGTAGTGGACTCATATATCTATTATATATAAATATCAAGTGGAAGAAGTTATAACAAACCTAATAATTTATTGCACAAAATGGAAAACCTTTTAGCTAGGTTTCCAAAGTTCTATAATTTTTTTTTCTCTTTGGCTTCATATGTAAGTATAAAATCTAAGAAAGATAATATAAAAGCACTTGATAAAGAAAAAAACAAAAAAAAAAATTTGATAAATAATTACTTCATGTACTTACCTAAAAAATGTTTAATTAATTAATCAAAAGCAGTTGATGATCTAGTCAAATTTGTTTCTTTCTATTTATATTATTCTCCCAATTGCTTTGCGTCACTTGTTGAGCGATGACACTGGTGGAGGTGGAGAGATTTTTCAGTGTAATCGATACATGAGATAGTACATCACGTGTCATTATACAAATTATGGGATATGTGTGCTAAAAAGTTAATAATTTAAAAAATAAAATTTCCTACCACTCCTATTAAAACACATGGTGTATCACTTGTGTTCCTGTCACAACTAAAAATTTCTTGTGATGGTGGTGCAGCTTGACATCATATACATGCATGCACGGTTTCTGATTAAAGTTTGGCTTTACAACTGTGTATGGCATTGAGTTGGTGAATGTACAGCCACAGCAGCAAACTTTCACTAATATGTCATTCTCTAAATCAACTTTACCTGAAATTCTCACCATCAGCATTACTTTTTCTTGAAAAGTTAGGTTAGCTAGCTAAATCCATTCATACTTTTCCAAAACGACGACCCGATTATGTTTGTCATGTATGATTGGATTGAATTTGATAACTTATTACATTTAAGGAATGGTGGATTACGTCACGAATGAAAATTGGTGTGCAACTTGAATAATGAGTTATACATTACTATTCAATTCTATAATTAGATTAGATTACTTATTAAGAGCTTGTTCGGTGCATAAAACTCAATGTATGTTGAAGACGTGAATTATTGAATTGGATTAGATTACTCATTAAGAGCTTGTTCGGTACATAAAACTCAATGTATGTTGAAGACGTGAATTATTTTTTGTCAATTATTAGAAGGAGATTAGACATGATGAAACATATATCTTTCAATCCTACTATTTTTCTAATGATAGGAAAAATGTGAGTTACCTTATGTATTAATCCACTTTTTAACCTTCAAAGTGGATACAATTCTTTCTTTTTTTCTTTCAACATACCTTGCTAAATATCGACACGACTGAACCAAAGGTCTAAGAGAACTTGGCCCATTAAGATAAATAACCTATGGTCTCCATAGCCGTCACCTTAATTAAGGATTGTTACTTAGGCCCGTAAAAAATCAAACCAAATAGAATGAAGATAGATAAAGGATTATTACACGACGTGAGGAATTTCCTCCATTGCCTCCATGCCTAACAGACCAGATGAATTGGCCGTTTCGATCGTACTCAATGTGGATTGAGCAAACACCGTCTGCTGTTCTTGTCAAATGAATCTGCTGATACCAGAAAACACTCCGTCATCCCATGATCTGCCGCCACCTCCGCCCCAAGGCACCAGTCCACACAAGTGCCCGTCTAGCTCTTTTACCACCCCATAACCAACCTGGACAAACACAGGATCACCAATACAATTTGTACATTACTTTCTTCTGATTAATCTTAATTTTTCTGTTAACGTTTTCGGCATAAACCAAATTGGATGATCCATCTCTGCAATGTCCTCGGCAATCTTCATCCGGATGCTTGCCATGCAAGTAACTTGTGAGAGGTGGTGATTTGGGTTTTTGGGATGTATATTTCACAGCTTCCTCAGCATTCCAAATCTTAAGAGGCCTGCATTCAACTTTCAACCAGCAACAAGGATAAATGCAGTAATCTATCAATGATCAAATTAAAATCCAAGGCAAATAAGGTAGGTCGAGCGAAGGTTAGGATTGGATTGGATTGGACTGGTTTGGACTGGCGATAGCAGATTAACGACACATATATGCCATAAAAAGATTAAGTGGGTTTGTACAGAAATGAAATCTGATTCCAAGCTCCAACATTGACCAAAAAAAGAGAGGGGACCTAAGCTGAGCAAAGATCATTCGCAGAAATTAACTTTATTCCGGGGAAAAGGTTTGTTCTTTGTGGATACTATGCTGTTTGTAACGGACTTCATGAGAAGTTGACCCAATAGAAGAACAAAACAGATCCAAACCCGTCAATGAGTAGTTTGGCCTTGGAGTAGGAGGGCTTCCGAGGAGCTCATGCCATGCTTTTTAGGGTAGCATAGCTGGTCGTTTCTCTAACCTGCAAATCACAAGCTAACACATACGTTTATCCATATGCTTCACATCAATTGATCTTTTCAGTATGAATGAGTTGTTACATGGGGAGGGAAAATGTGAAACATGTCCAAGCAATGCTTAATGCTAATTAAATAATGTTTTTTTTTTTTTTTGTATACAAAGAATATCAGAAAGAAAAAAGGGCCCTCACCTAAACCCAAAAGTCTTACAAATCCTCTAGGCAAACTGTGCTCCTTGATTGGCTTCCCCCTCCTAGATATTCAGGGGTGAGCCTGGTCAAATTGGAGCAGGCTGAGTTCTGCACAACGAAGAGGATCGAAGGCTTCTCTCTAAACATTGGTATTGAATCTGCTCTTGCGGCCGAGTTACAGAGCTACAGCGAAGCCTAAGTTTGGCTTCAAACTAAAAAATGTTGACGGATTGGAGTTGATGTGACTATACAAAATGAAGTTGAATGTTAGCTGCAATCGTGCCTTTAACAAGCCCCGTTTCGCTGCACCTGATCTTTCAACTTTGGCCTTTGATGATTTTCCATGATGACCTCTCTACCAATAGTCACCACAAGAACAATGGCCATTACTAAAATGGTGAAACGACTTTGGGTCACTCAAATATATATCACACCCAAAAGCCATAGATATATACTTGGCTGTCCTGTGGCAGTCTCCACACATTCTCAGATTTTTCACCATCCTAATACTTCGGGGTACACTTGGGGAGCCAATGAGAGCAAAAGCAAATGCAAGTTTTTCACTATGGACCCAGCTAATACCCCCCTCTTCTTCCTCAACACAAAGCTCATTACAAAAATCAGGTCTCTTTGCTTTTTCGTCTATGTTTTGTAACCACGAATTTAGAAAGTTTGAGCATAACTTCGACCTGTCACCTGCAGTGTACATATGCACCGAGTTCTTGAACTCAATCCAGCACTGCCCAGTAAATTTCTTTATTGCAGCATCTCGACCGAACTTTCTCAATTTTGAAGTATCCTCAGACTTCCCACATAGTGCATATGCCTGTAACAGTAACTGTTGAATCAAAATATTCCCTGGTTCCAAGTCGAGTAAATGCTCCCCCACACGAACTGCCAAGGCAAGATTCCCATGAATCCTACATGCTGTAAATAAGGCAGCCCAAATAGAGGAGTCTGGTTCTATGGGCATATCTTCAACAAACTGCATTGCTTCTTGAAGCCTACCTGAACGCCCGAAAAGATCTATCATAGCTGAATAATGTTCTAGACCTGGTATGATTTGATAGTCTTCAGTGATGCTGTAAAAAGCTTGTCTCCCCTCGTCTACCATTCCAGCAAGACTGTATGCATATATGATACTTGCAAAGGTACCTCTATTTCGTTTAAAGCCCGACTTCTTCAGCTGATCAAAAAGGTCAAGTGCAATGTCTGAAAAACCATGCAAGACATAACCAGAAATTAGCGAGTTCCAAGTGATGATATCTTTGGATGGCATTCTATCAAATATGAATCTTGAATATGCTATATTTCCCGATTTGGCATAGGTGTCTATCAAGGAATTTGCAACAGGGACTAAGGACTCCAAATTTCTACGCAATACACTACCGTGGATCTCTTTCACCTTTTTCGTGGCAACTAAATTCGCACAAGCAGGCAGGACACTCAATATAGTAACAGAATTGGGATTAACACAGTAGGCCTGCATCTGCCTGAATACCCCAAGTGCCTTGTCTTTCTCCCCAAGTTGCAGGTAGCCAGAGACAAGAGAGTTCCAAGATGCCGTATTTCGTTTAGCTTTCCCGTCTTTTTCCATCCTTTGGAAGAGGTCCATTGCTTGATCTGCATCTCCGCTCTGCATGTATCCTGTGATCATCACATTCCAGGTCACAGCATTGGGATGCACATCTGATTCCTGCATCTTCATGAATAGTTCATAGGCCTTACCACAGTATCTAGCTTGGCAATATCCTCCTATCATTGAGTTCCAGGTATAGACATCTTTCTCTGGGATCCTAACAAAGACCTTCTGAGCAGCTTCCAGTTCCCCACATTTTGAAAACATACCAATGAGCGCATTTCCGACCAGTACGTCATCAATGAAACCCATCTTTATAGCAATAGAATAGATTTCCAACCCTTTGTTGAGTGATTTTAAAGATGTGCAAGCTGAGATTGCACTAGTGATTGTAATCCCATTTGGTTGTACCCCTGCCAAAAGCATCTTCTTCAACAAATCCAAAGACTGATTTTTCCTGTTGTTTTGAGCAAACCCCGAAATCATAGAAGTCCAAGTATATACATCAGGAGTTATCCCACAGCTCTCCATCCTCCTCATCAGTTCCATAGCGACATCACAATGCCCTAACTGGTTATGACTAGCAATCAATGTATTCCAAGTTACCAACCCCGGTTCAATCCCTTCTTTGCTCATCGCATCAAACAGTCTCTGAGCTTCTTCAGTCTCACCTTTGTGGCAATAACCAGATATAATTGCATTCCAACTCACCCCATCCTTCTCATCCATGTCGTCAAAAAACCTCCTTGCCCACTTCAATTTTCCACACTTTGCGTACACTGCCAGTATCGAATTGTTCACTTGAATACAACTACTCAAGTTACACCGAACCACAATGGAATGTATCAATTTTGTGGCCTCTAAATTCCTACAATTCCCACAAGCCTGCAATATCTTAGGAAACAGAAAGTAATCCGGCAAAACCCCATCTCTCATCATCGAGTAAAAAAGCTCCACCACCTCTTTCCACCTCTGGTCTCTGACACACGCACCGATCATGGCAGACCAAGAGTACAAATTTCTCTCACGCATTGCGTAGAATACCTTGCGCGCATCATCCAAAAACCCGCATTTCGCATACATACTCACCAACTTCGTTTCAACAAAAGGGTTCAATTCCTCAACTATATCAATACGCTCATGGATCTTCCGACCCAGTTGAATACAATTGGTGTCAATGCAAGATTGAAGTAAATTCATGTAGGTAGTGGAAGTTACCTTCGACCCACTTTTGGCAATGGATTCAAGAACCGTGACGGCCTTGGTGAGCTCGCCATTCTTGCAGAGGTAATTCAAGTGAGAGTCTGTGGATTTTGGGAGGGTTTTTCTGGAAAAAGAGATTGTGGGTTTGGTTTGTCGTGGTGAGAATTCAGATGGGTTGCTAAATTTGGGGGGAACGATGGCCGTTGGAGGGCTTGATTTGCAGGGGATTGTAAAATTCTCCATTGCTGAAAGCTCGAAGCTTGAAGGATTGGGTTTTTCTGGGCGCTATTTGTTTCAGTTCATGGCTGGAAGATGAGGTGGAAGGCGCGGATAGAAGATTGCAGAGTTTGTTGTGTCCGTTGGAAGTGGAACCCGCGCGCATTGCAAATTGCAATGGATTTAGCCAATGATATTGCGCCACGTAGAAGCATGGCCTTTCCAACGGAATTGGATCCCCCTCCGGATCTTAGTATCCGGAGCCAAGCATCAATTTATTTGGACCGCACAAATTGAATCCAACGGTCCCTATTAACTTATTTTCCTAGCCCACCACACAAAACCATTGACTCTTATTTATTTTACACACCAATCAGTGACCCAGATGATTTGATTCTTAGGCTCCAGACATTAAGGTTTGAAGCATATCCAATTTCCTTTCCAACTATCTAATATTGACAAGTGTAGGAATACGTTATCAACTATCGATGTGTCGTTGATATTACCGATATCACATTTCTATACATAGTTGTCGATATACTTGTTGATAAAAGTTTTATTAGAAAACGATTAATGATGCAATATAATCTTATTGACAAATTGAACTAACAAGATCGTTATATGGTATGACCGAAGTTTTTCACTTATGCAACGATGATAATGCAGAATTTCCACAAAATGACCATAGTTGTCGATATACAATAGAAATGTTAACAACTCCAAAATAATCATCATGCACTGTCACTTTCTTATTTTTCTACAAAGGAGGACGAGGATGACTCCAGAATTTCCACAAAATGGCACAACCATAGTTCGATTAAGATAGTCTAAAGTTCGACTCACTTAAATGACAATACCTACTAAACCACATAAGAAAATGACCCAAAACAATCAGAAAATGCTTCTCTTGTGCCCTTAATCAAACAAATATTATTCACTAGTCAAAAACTATTTATTTTCCCAGCTGTATGAACTCCGGTTATTGCTTGAGACGTTTGATCAATACTTCTTGAAGAGGGAGGGCTTGAAGCTTGTTTTCTGACCACTTCCAAGCCAATGCTGCATGTGAACTCCGATGGCGTCCAAATACAGGCTGCTCCTCCCATGGAAGCCCACCACCTTACCCTCAGTCGCGGTCGAAGTGAAGAATGTCCCAACTTCTTCTCCAAACGGACCGTACTTCCCTCTGCTTGTATAAAAAGTCAGCGACTTTATGATTTTATGTACCTCGCCATTGCTTACGCAACCATAATATCCAGATACGCAGGTGATCACTTCATGAGGGTACTCCAATTTTATCTGCAGAATATACAAATGAAAACGGTAAGTAGAAAGCCAGTCAGTCAGGGCAGTATGTCCACCCACTTGCACGAAGGTTCAAATCTCATTGCCGTAGATTACTAAGATTATAATTGTTTATGATATCGCGAAAAAATAATCAAATTGATGAAGATGTTGATGAAGCATTAGTACTCTATGTGGGGAAGTTCCTCCATTGCCTCCATGCTTAGCAGACCAGATGAATTGTCCGTTTCGATCATACTCAATCTGCACTGAGCAAATGCCTTCTGCTGCTCTTGTCAAATGAATCTGCCTAATCCCGGAAAACACTCCATCATCCCATGGTCTACCTCCGTCTCCGCCCCAAGGTCCCGGTCCACACGGAGCTGGTTCTTTTATCACCCCACAAGCAACCTGGCCAAACACAGAATTACTAATACAGTTAGTACATGCACAATATTGTCTTATCTACTAACGGAATTGGATTGAACTTATTACCTCTTCGACTTTTCCTCTGTTTGTCATCAGTAGTTTATTTGTCCAGTGAGGATTATCTATCTCAGTAATTGCCCCTGCAGGCGCCATTGGGACCATTGCAGTGCTAGTATTAGGAGTATTTGTGACAATTGGTGTCTTACTTTTGTGGTCACTGTGACCGTTACGAATATTAGGAGTATTTGTGGCAGTTGGGGTCATATTTCTGTGGTCAATGTGGCCGTTGGGAACATTAGGAGTATTTGTGACAGTTGGTGTCTTTGTCTCTACAACATGGACCTTCCCTTCTATGGCATGGACCCCAAGAGCATCCAAGAACAGACCGCTCCTCCCATGAATTCCGACGATTTTCCCTTCTCTAAGCTTGGTGGTGAAACAGGCTCCTTGTTCTTCTCCATACGGCCCGTGCTGCTTCTTCGTGGTGTGGAAAGTGAGGGACTTGATGACACTAGGCCCCATCACCATTGTAGGCGCGAATGTTCCTGTTATATGCGTCAAGATCTCGTTCGGATAGTCAAAAACTATCTGCAAATACATGTACAGAACATTATAATTTCAAAAACACCATAATATATAGTGTAAATACACTTAACTTGTAAGACAAGTTTGTTTGAGTACTAATTGTTCACCTTGTCACTTTTATATCCTCCAGTCCCGCCGCGTCTGCCTCCCCAAACGGCTTCACCATTGCGGTCATACTGAACTTTAATGTATACAACTCCAATGTTTCTTGATAACTTGATTTGTCTAATCCCCGTATAAATTCCATCATCAAATACAGTACCACCCGTCCCTCCGAAGGGGCCATATGCTACCACCCCTTCAACTTTCGAGGGAAACCTCTCAATATTCGTCATCTGAAATAAATAACTACTTGTTAAAATGGCGTATTTTCAAATTGAACCCGAAAAGGAAACGGAAAAGGTGAAATTTTCCTTACCAGCTTACGTTTGGTTCCTGCATCACTTAATTCGGAATCAGAAAACTGCCCTGAGAGCATTTTGGGTACTGGTGGTGGTGCTGGTTGTGGTACTACAGCTGGTTTAGTAGTGGAGTTGTCCTTCGGTCTTATAGCGAAAAACACATCACAGTTTTGGATTAATGAGTAGCCAGCAAGGTTGTGATCAGTATCAACAGTCAAATAATTGAACTGTGTCCGAAGCAGAGTTTTCGCATGTTGGTTTTGTTCATTCCGATCAAGGGGCTTTAGGTAAGCGCCTATTGAATCAAGATTCCAGCCAGACATCCCATGGAACCCAACAATCTTACTATTCGCAGCTGTCTCCGGGAGTGAAAAATAGGTTCCTTCTTCGATCCCAAACGGTCCATAAGTTGTTCTGTTGCTCTTGAAAGTAAGGGATCGAACTGTGACCAGTCCCCATTCGCTTATCTTACCGTAATATCCCTCAATTGAAGTTAAAAATTCTTCTGGAGAAGCAAGCTTCACCTGCAGCAGCATGACATATATATACACAGTTAATTTGTATAACACCGTGACTAGCTGACTTTTATATCATGTACTTTGGGATGAATTGAAGAGGAGGAGAAGAAATTCGATAGGGCTGCCTAACTAGAACAAGACTCACACCGAGTAAAATTGCATGGAATCAAGTGGGAGCGTTAATCGGAGGATCACTGGGTCACATGAATATATAACGTGGACTAAATTAACTAACCATGTCAGTTTTCCAGCCTCCATTGCCACCGTGCCTGTCTGACCAAAATGAGTTCCCCTTCTCATCATACTCAATCTGGATGGAATCAATGGCAGCTCCATGAGTTATCACCAGCTGCTTCACAGTTGAGTAAACTCCGTCATCCCAAACGAGCCCGTTGTGGCCTCCCCATGGCCCAACTGACACGGGTTTGTTGTCGGATCCCTCAAAAGTATCCTACCATCGTTAACATTCACCTCAAATTAGTCAGTCATATATAATTAACTGGGGTTTAAGTTCCGATCAAAATACAAGAAATCACACAACAAAGACGGGCGTCAAATTTTCATCAATATATTGACCCCAACAAAATTTACTAACATGCTATCGACACATTTATAAATATGCGATATGTTGTAATTAAAAAAAGGGACGACCTGCACTTAAAATATCTTCCAAAACAAATAGTTATCAACCTACCATTTTGGATCAGTGACCAAATGAAGGAGATGGAGAAGGGGTGAGATTGTGAACGCAGTTGATCGAATACTTGAACGCTGCACTCTGAAGAATGATACGGCTGATAAGCATTTATACGGAACACAAAGCGTGCGTGGGTTCATGACAATAGTTTATATCTACACCTTACAACTGTGTGGAAGAAGATAATTATTCTCTCCACTATGGAGCTAATGGCTTCAAAAGTAAAAAGAATCAAACAATCGTTCCCATCACTTCTGAGTTCTGACCTCAGATAAAGAATAAAGACTTTACATGGAACGGAATTTACCATCGTGGCATTCCAATCTAATAATATAATATTATACATAAATATCTCATTACATGTTATTACATATCAAATTGGAAAGTCACATGACGATGACCTGAACTCATTTCTTATAAGTTGTTCGCCAGAAAAGAAAGAGTACTATCTTCAGCTAGCTAGAGAGCATTTTCCAGGGTCTATAATTTTCTCGCTGAGCATTTGGAGGACAGAAGATTACGCAGTAACGCATAAGAGTGCTGCTTTATTCGGATTCCTTGGAAATTTGGAATATATGGGAAGCATTTTATATATGCATGGCGCATCGTGGTCGATTGGACACGTGCGTATGCCAGTATGTCAATCAAACTTTTTGAGACGTACGTACATTTCCCAATCATTGTTTATTTCCTCAGAATTCAGACAGGGATGTTCTTCTTTTCTGGTAATTCTGGTTTTTTGTTTTTTACTACTAAGATACTCAGAATCCGTTTTTTTTTTTTTATCACCTTCATTTCTGTTTCTGCCCCTGGACAATTTGTCTGGTCAATTTCTGTCCTTCCGCAGAAAAAAAAGAAAGCAAAAGTGGTAAATATCGGATAAGATTCGGAGGGGAGGGTGGAAAAAGCACCGCAGGTAGAGACGCCGCCACAGCGACGGAGTCCTCCACCCACAGGGTGGCGGGCAGAAAGCAACGGAGGAGGAGGGCTTAGGGACCAGGGTGTTGGAATCGTATTTGCAACCTTGAATGGCTGAACAGACATACAAAAGTTGAGCCCGAATGAACACTTATGTGAGTCCAGCCCATATACAACTCGGGCTTCAAGCCCTAACATGAGAGGCAATCGTAGCCCAATGGTTCCTTTCCTCTTTTTCTGTATGAGTCGAGTAGAACTAAAATACATGACCTATCGTGTTTTTGTGTAACACCCTTACTAATGATCTCTTTCCTATTCT